ACAATGCCTCTGTAGGCAGGGAGCTGTCTATAAAGCAGACCCTCGTATGCAAACGTGGCTGGCCTACCAACGATAACCTGACTGTCCCCTGAAACCCCAAGCATCTACCACAAGCTAGACTCAGATTATCCTTACGTGGAGATATCTAGAGGGAAATTATTAGCTTCCGTGGCACCTTCTACAGCCATCTTTATTACTGCCTTAAGTACAGCCTTTATACCTCACGCAGGGACTTACACACCAGTAATACCAGTTGTACCACGCCCAGGATTTAATGTGTCAAGGAACACAGGCTCTCCCCCGCCCATCCTGCGCCATCAAGAGAGAGACCGGGACTATTACCAAAGAATCCATTACCAAACAGGCCTAAGACTTAACAAATCCTCTATTCAGTATTAACCACTGGCTTATAAGAGGGCCCCAGTAATAGTAAAAAATCCAAGTCTGTCAGCAATTTCATCGTCAGAGTTTCTGCAAGGTGTACCGGCTGCCAGGGGTTATTAAGACCATATATCCTGTTTACCGATTTGCCAGTTACTTATTAGAAACACGGCAGCTCAGCAGAATTAATATAAGGACTGAATTTATCGTGCAGGACAATATAGGAACATATACATTAATATACCCCGAAGTGGTCCAACTTGCCTAGCAGCTCATATATCAAATAGAGCCGCGCTCACCGGGGTTCGTCATAGTTTACAGGGTCCAACCTCAAAAAAGTAGTTGCCGAGAGGGCCAGGGGCGGAGAAATAAAGCCTGGTGCCTGGTTCTTCATTCAATATTTCTGGCAAACAAGACTCCATCGCCCCAAGGGGGCATCGGCTATCGCTTCACAATATTATAATGCAATAAGTCAGAACAATTAGATTTATATAAGGTTAATAGTTATTTATATATTACCTTTTAGGAAAATATAAATAATCTATGCCAAATTTTTAACTTTTTAAGTTTCGGATTTAGTAGAACGTGGACTCATGATTCATCTACGTTTATCCGGCTAAGAAAATAGCATTCGGTTATACTATACGCTACCGCTTAATCTAATAGTGCGGTTTCGGCTTTAGAGCAGGACAAGTAGGCTTCTTTCATGTTTATAGAGAGAACTTTAGGGTAATTCAAGATTTTAGCCTCTATCTTGGTACTATGAGAAATCGCTAAAACGCGATTAAGCCCGGACAAGTCTGGTATTTAGGAGCTTGGTACTTCAGTGCCAGGCTGACATGGGTCAAGAGTGAATACTTTGGCCCTAGGACTTAGTAGACACGCGGGACCGGGATTAGAATCGCCGCAGTCTCGGTTTCTGCAAAAACGATAAACTGCTGCCATTTATGCCCAAGTAGAGATGGTTTGGTTTTCCTTTACTGCATTACACGGCAGGTTAGTTGTCAAGCTTACTACTCAAGCGACCGTCGCTGTTGCGCTCTGGCAATTTACATAGCGACATTAATGCAACCTGTAAATAAGGCTAAGCCTGCTCCTTAGGACGTCATATTCTCAAACATAGCGACTCAAGTGGCGGACGCATTCCAGCATCATCACAGCTTCTGGTGACTCCTGTCCGTCGGCTATTGTGCTGCTGCAGATCGCCAGAGTCTGTCTATCAAGAGTACTACCCTAGAAAATAAGCCACAATCGCTGCTGAGTGCATGTCTTGGTATATCCGCATTCATGGTGGTCGTGACCCGTAGCTTTGCCAGGGAAAATAAGGAAAATGGCGTGGGCTCCCTGCCCCTGGCATAAGAAGTTAACTCCGCCAGTATTGTTGACACCTTTGAAGCATATATATCTCGGAATATGGTGGTTTCGGCAATCAAGCGTCGGGACATTGGCCAAGGCTCCTTTCCCATTGATTGCTGCCTGGGACCTCTTCCATCACCACGCTTTCGGGAGTAGAATTTATGGGCAAACAAAGCTTGATTCCATAAACACTGCTCCGGCCTAGCCGTACATACACAAAGACGTCCCCTAAAGCTATTTTAACTCCGGTAGTTATCAAAAAGGCTTTAGCCACGAAAGCTAGCCGGGGCATGACATGATCCAGGTATCTTGTTGTTAAGACTCCGCTAAACTGGTTAAGATAATCGCCATGGCTGTGGCCACGGAATACTGGTTCGGCCTGAAGAGCCTGAATTTTTGCCACGCCAAATCTCATGGAAATTTCCAAGCAAATCGCAAAAGACGCCAACGCGACACACGGGTCAACTGGTGCGTAAAAATAAGGTGTCAACTACGAGTGATAGGGAGCAGGATTACGCTATCTCCAGGCGTCTGCCTTACCAAACCCTACATATGTAGCCTTATTTGTCGCATAGCGCCCACCGGCTTTGCGAGTAACCGGATACAAGACAGCACCATTCATTTCTTGCTACGTCTCCCGGTTGGTGGTACTTTTACGGATACATTCGACTCAATAACACCAGTCTGTCTTGGAAAGAAGACGGCAGGTGGCCTATCAGTTGTTTGACCGCGGCGTCGTGGACTGTAGTAACCGTCGTAGGTGGAAGCTAGGTTATAGGGGCTCGATCAGGAAATGCAATTGCAGATAACAAGTATAACCCTTCGGGCTGGACATTTAGCCGTTAACTTCTTGCCTTCAATTTTGGCAACTTAAGGGTGTTCGAAGAATTTTATTAGATTATCACAATACTATTCTTACCCTGCAAGTGCTTACAATATTAGGATTCCAGACTCTTTAATTACTTTCTCATATTTATTAGAAGCAAGGTGGTTTTAGTTGGATTACACTATGGTCTGGGTATTTGTTCCACCACCGACTTTGGCCGGTGCGACTCGCGAGTTCCAAATAGTCTGGTGGGACATGGCACGAGTCAATATTGTCCGGTCGTAATCTATATTTTAGGGAACTCCCGTCCATCCCTGTTCTCGATGCGATACTCCGCGACTTGAGGGGCACCGTCTACCCCATGGCCCAGCACCGCCGCGCATGGCAGTTGTTCAGGCACCAGACAACTGCGGATTTTTTTTTTCGAGTAATCCTTTAAATAGAATCAGCTACAACCAATACGTACTTTCTCCCTTTCTCACACCAGGATCCCAGGGCATAATTTCGATATCTATATGGCTTAGGTTCGTTTCGTGGTATTAAAAGCAACGGCTTTCGGTAATGCTATTACTACTGTCGCATTACAATTCATTTATTATCAGGCCATAATGTGTTCATGGCATTACATGCACTAGTCATACTTGTATAATGTAGTTGTAGGCATTGTATGTCAAGCTTGATTTAGCTAAAGACTATGTATACATTTGTTCTTATAAATAGGAAGACTTACTCTCACATTTAAATCCAAATTACAATCCACACAAAAACTATTACCTACTCAACCAACTAGCCACCCACCAATACTCTACCATCTTTTCCTTTTTTTAAAAAAGACATTTACAATGAAGAACTCTCTGATTCTTGTGGCTACTTTTGCCTCCGCCTCTCTCGCTGGCACAACTTGGACGACGGAATATGTCTGCAAGCCATTTAATGGCAACAAGAACGCGTGCTATGATGCAGTCACTTTTTGTGCGAAAGAAGGGGGGAATAATCAGGCCATTTATGATTGTGTGGTCCGCGTTGCGAAGGAGCATGAGACCACCTCTCAAGACAACGGGGTGAAGCCAGATACGGCGGCTAGCCGTCAGTGTCAGTACGAATGGCGCGGCTGGGACGAAGAGGAAGACAGACCTTTAAAGGAAACTAGAACGATGTCTTGTTCTGATTATGATTTTCCGCTATGTTTTGACTGTGGGTTCGGAATGTACAACGACTGCCGCCCCTGCGACACATGTAAGGAACAATGTGGACACATCTAAGCATATTTACGGTCTGGAATTGCGAGCTGTTACGGGCTTTGCCTGACTGGAAATTGTCTGGTCGGACTAGTCCAAGGTGTGTAAATTCGTTTCGTTCCGCCTAGGTTGCCATGTTGCAACTATACGGTTGCAAGCTCGAGCCTCGCCTCGGTCTTGCTCTACTCCTTAGCTTTCTATAGAAAATTATACAGCAACTTTCTGTTAAACAAACCAATTGATTGCTTAGCGTAAGGTTTTCATGTGCTGAAAAATGTCTAGTATGAGAAAAATCCAGTCTAGACCTGTTGGTCAAGGCTCAAAGCGCTCCGACTAGTTGCATGCGAATCGGCCACAAACCCTCCACCTAGCCCGGTTGCTACACCATTCAACCGCCGGACTCTGGAGCAGCCCTACCGTACGAACCCTTAGCTGTTAGCCCTACAAACCTACTCTGGCATGAATGCGACATTCCGCGACTTATGGGTCTGCGATGAGGGTTAGCTGGTTCCAACTTCCATGTTATTGGTTAATGCCTCCTTTTCCCTTTCCCTACAAAGTAACTATAAGCCTGGTATTTAAGTACTCAAAAAATATCGAGGTCTGGTAGAAAAAGCGCTGACCCTGCTTGACAAGAAGACACAAAAGCTACAAGCATTAAACGATATAATTATCAAGGCACTTGACAGCCTTTAACTCTAGCCTGCCCGCTATTTGCTCAATTAGGGACCCTCGCGGTGTTGGAATAGGCGAGTCAGTCACATGAGGATAAGACAAGGGAAATCTAGTAGATGTATTTATAATGAGGATTGCCCCCAACTATCAGGTTGGTAGGCAAGGTGAATACAAGACAATAAGTACACTTTATGTTTAACACGCGGAGAGTCAGTACAGGCCTTGAAAGAGACATGGACTTGCATAAGTGCACGGTCCACAGAATGATCCCAACTCACTAAAGGACCGCGTGGAGTTAGATGGACCTCAGCCGTTACATTGGTGTACTATATACGCAATATCAGCTGATTCAGAGAAATCATTATTCATGCGAGTGCTTTTGTTCTAACAGACCTCTCAAAAAACCTAGTCTATATAAGCTACAAGAACCGCTGAAATCAATATAGCTATCACTACTGCAGCATTCCTATAAGCCTCTTTCAACGCCACTAACTCTGTATCCTTTATACACAAGGCGTACCAAGATGAAGGTCCTAACCGCGCTCGCTTTTTTTTTCGTCGATATCTCTGCGGCATCAGCGGTGAACAGCACGCCTATCGAACAGACACTGCAGCAACTTCAGCGAGGCAATCAGGTATTGGATCTTGTGCTCCAATACGGGTTTTCTCCAAAGCAAATCTCAGACCAGGCAAAAGCGCAAGTTAACGATGCCGTCTTTGCAATAAGAAGTGCTGTGGAAGAAGCAGCACGTGCTGTGCATTATGCAAATACTAGCCTTAGGATGGACGCGAATGACCTTGAAATCGCAAGGCGCAATCTCGGATGGGCAGCAGAGGTGAGTTGTCACCCGAAACATAGCCAGGGACTTTGCTAACAATCTGGCGCGATTATAGATCCTCGAATCTGATAGGCACCACTATTAGTTAGGGACAAGTTCCTGCTGTTATCAGAGGTGCCATGTTTTCTTGTAACTGCCGCGAGCTTGTTCCTCAGCAGCTTTATACAAGGGGTATCCGAAATGTAAGAGTACTATCTGCTTATAGAATATCTTATGGAGCCCACTCAGAATAAGCTTTTGTACGTTTGGTCTCCAAGTGGAGGATTAAGTTAATATTATGGTACATCATTATTAATAGAAGACTTGAAAACTTTGTGCCTTCGTTTGAGATCTTGTACAGGGGGTCTTTGTGCACAATTTGTAGAAATTGGACCCTACAAGTCTAAACAGATGTCGCGTTGAGACATCTAGCCCGTATAAAAACTCCCTTTAAATTTCTCACAACCGCCAGGTTAAGTCAAGCTTTTGTTCCTTGATGCTCTTTTGGGGAACCGCTGGCGGTTTAGTCTCCTCTACATATCAACTCCAATCAGATTCCGACTTATTGACTCTGGTCCGCATTAAACCCTTATTATTTGAGGAAACCTATGAATTACTATAATTATACATAAAGTTTGCTAAGGAGTACCTTGACATTACTATTCTGGATCCCCGATTCTTGCTCTATCGACTTGACCTCTTTGTTGATCTCAGACTGCAATAATCTCAAAGCTTTAAGCGTGTATTCCAAACTGCCAGAACGTCGCATGAGCTGCAGTATTAGCTGCTTGTGCTCTAGTGACGACCCGCTATCGACTTTCCTTTGGGCAAGCAAGTTGTGCAGAATCATGCGCTAGCTCTTTGGGAGGAACTGCAGGGCGTGTATTATAGGCCTATGGCGTGGGATAGAGCTGTGTCCTTTTGGGTTCCGGCCTGGGCCTCGCTACCAGCCAAGGCTGCATCAGAATTATGACATGGCTTTTGGCACATGTATAATGTCTTTTTACATCATGAAGTAAATTTAGGAATGAGTTCATGTAGCATCAATGTAACAGAACATCAAAATACTTGCGGCACGTTACCAGCAACTTCGATGTTGGGAGGAATATAGTAGGGCTCGGGTTGAAAGGCGCTGTAGCAACGTCTTCATCATTCAGCATCATCAACCTTTGTCAGCAGGCATCATCAATTCCATATATTCAATACCTTCTTGTTCCGGTGTTCAAATTGCTGTTTTGTTTCCAATAAATTGATCTATATACCCTGACCATATCACGTTAAATATTTCACCCATCTTTAGCAAGCTCCTAGTCTTACACCACCGCCAACCGGTGATGCCAACTACCACATTGTGACTAGAGGTACTCATTATTGATGTAATAGTCAGGTGCAACGAAATGTGTGGCGGGACAACAAGTGTCTATCTGACTAGTAATACTAAAAGCCCCCGACGCTTATCTTCAATCCTAGGATACTATACAATAATTACAAACCACAAAAGTAGCGTGGCATATTGAAACCCTCGGTCAACTAGTAGATATCATCTGTAGATACTATCTTTTCAATACGCCTGACGGGTACTCTGTTGTCCACCGGGGGGGCGTTCGACTGCTGAATATCTTCCCGTAACTGGTGCCAGAGCAGATAAAATCCAGCCAAAGCTGAGAGGCATCCAAACCCACCAGCTATTTGCGTAAAAATTGAACTCGTATCTACAAAGCCATCTGCCCGAGCAAAAGACGACACGCTGCTAAAAACATACACCATCTCTAATGAGCCGTACAGGATAATACTAGGAAAATTCCTATACAACAAAGTCAGCAGTTGGACTTGTAGTATATTGCAGACTATACTTTACGTTGACCAAGATGCAACGAAGAAAAATAGATTCACAATGCTCCAGACTATATACGAGTTATTACTTTCTTTGGCTCATGTCCCAAGTTCCACGCACGTCTGGTTGCTTACCTAGCTGGTAAATGCCAAGGGCATTGAAAAACTCGGCGGGGTTGGCCTTGTATGATTCGAAAATACCGAACGAGGGCGTAAGCAGCGCTCCGGACCCAAGGTTGTACAGCCCTGGTCGAGGGAACAGCGAACAAGAAGAGACTTAGCCGTTGCAATACTTGACAAGTCGAGAGGGGGCGCTCATTACCAAAAGTAGACATGATTGTGTATCCCATTGTGTTGCCCCTCACCATTTCCCACTGCGCCGAGATTAGGAGGCCCAGCCCGCCAAGGAAAGTAATGTTCGCTATAAAGACAGATTGGTTGGTGATGCCACGGAAGCCCGTAGCAGATAATGACGAGGCTAGTATCGTCGTTGAGAAGGCGACAAACACCAAGGCACTCTAGAGACACATTAGCAGACTGCCACACGGTCGTCTCGAATGGTGACTTGTACAGGATTTGCAAGCCGTTGGGATGCCATGGTTATCGAATGTAACCATGGCCACGTGTGGAATCAAACAGGAGTAGTTCTGGATCTAGGCTATCCATCCAGGGAAGTAGAGCTTTTTGTAACGTTCAATTGAAGTTGACTGCACGTAGTCGCTGCCTGTGATCTTGTAACCTCACTAAAACAGTTGATGTTTTAGTCGGTTGTCTGAGGCGGGACCTTGCCAGACATGCTTGACTCGTCAGCAACGCCGGCCTTGTTTGACGTCCTTGACTCGTTGGCAATGCACTGGAGGCCCTGAATTTCTGAGGGTGTTTTTTGTTGCAAATAGCTGTCGCTTCGCCATCTACTAAGCTGGCTAGGGTGTAGAGTCTCGCTCTGCTCATGCACCCCAAGTTTGCTGGCTGCATAGGCTTCCTCCAAGCGGCAAGATTATCGCTACATACAGCTGTCGCTTTTTAACCAGTTTCTTTAGTGTTAAACTCTCTCTATCTCGATGGTCCTTTTGAAGTCTCAAAATGTCAACTGGTTCTCTCTGCGCTCCTTTCTCCTTCCTTTACGAGACATTCCGCCTCCTTCTCGACGAGTTTCATCCCACAGGCACCTCCTTTGTCTGCAAATGTCACACGGTTGAGCCCCAACAAAGGTTGTTGGACCAACAACGGTTACACAACAACAAAAGACATTACGAATCCCAAATGAAAGCGAGCGCCACCCAAGGCCTCTAGAACGTACCGACTTCTTGTATTTATAGAGACCTTGACCTTGGGTTTCTGTTAGCCTCGTGGACAACCAAGGACCTTTGATGTCCTAGATTCAATTAGTAAAGATTGAATTGAACCCTCGTTCCAAGTGAAGTTACACTGCCCTTTTCGCGGCGGAGACGACGCTTAATGCAGAGTATATTCACCACGACGTCAGTCAGGCTTCAAAATATACGTTGCGTATTCTTGTTGGTGATACAAAGGGACCTTGCCGAGCCCTTAACTCTGCAGGAAGGTCTATGCTATCAATGACCGACTTGAATCAATGTTTTGTCGCTGGTTTCATCGTCCATGAGACTCCTTTCCTGTGCTTAATACTTCACCGTGACTCCTTCGGGTATATTACACGATTTGGAGAAACAATTTACATGAGATGCCACATGGACAGCTCCTCACTCTTGTTGGGTGAAAAAGGTGATGTTCAGAGGCTGTTGATCATGATGGTTGCTTCTTCTAGGACTCAAATTAAGGCTCGGATTGAGGGTCCCGACAGGGATCGTCAGTGGGTTCAACAGGGTATACAAGGAGTCGATGTACATGATTTTCAATCGAGATGTTCGTCAATCATGAATATCGTCAAATCCGTTCAATCAAGGCACCCCAAAGCCTGCCCTACACACGTTCGGGAAGTTGCATACTCTGACCCTCTTCCCCGAGCGGACTACGGGCCGTGGCCTCATCAGTCAAGACTCAGCTGTCGTCTCAATAAGTTCTGTAACTACGACGTCTCGCCTGCCAGTCCATGACTGAGTCATTTACTCGCCCCCGGCCAAATAGTCCCACAATAGAGCCAGCGAGCCCTGCATTCTCGGGATGCGCGATGATGAATCTGTGAGCTCGAGTACAGCCAAGTTCGATCAATATTGACATGACACATGGTGTCATGACGTCCGGTATAAATTGACAAACATGGGGCATTTCGTGTTCGCATTAGCAGGATCCAAAAGCGCCCTGCATCGGTGAAACCGAATGTCTTCTGAAACGTGTCACCGGGCCAAACCTGTAGTCACCGTGAACTATGAGCATCAGCGTGGCGAGGATCACTTGAATGCCTGCTTTGAGAAGTCGGCATGTGTGGGTTCTTTAGCATAAGTTTGAGGTAAAGCAGCCACATGTTCCACGTGCAAAACAAAAGAAAATACAAAATTGAGTCCCAGGTTCGACACACAAGCCAAGGTGCTATGCAGCCGACATCCTCTTGGGGGCAAAGAACACCAGTATTTCCTCAACTGTCTTTGCCATCATTCGCCCAACCGCCTCAATGCATTGCCAAATTTTGCATGGAATATAACATAGCAGCGAAACTATACCTGCGACGCAACCCCAAAGACACAGCCCCAGAAGGCCGAAAACTGCCCCCGTAAAGCCGTACATGACGTCGCCGAATGATTTGACAAACGACCACAGAAGAGTTGGAAACCCGACAAAGACAGCTTGCAAAACGGAGCAGAAGCCGTTCCACACATCTCTGAGAGTTATTTGCCTGAACCAAGAGAGCACTGCTGCAACCACAGTGTGGAAGAACGAAGCCGTCCTCTTGACAAGATGGACGACCCAGTGGCCAGCTTTGCCCAGGGCATCACCAACCCAGTTGGCACATATCCTGACGCCCGTGGGCACGGCTCGGATCAAGCGCCAAATGCCAAAGGCAACAGACTTGGCCAAGCGAGGTATTTTCCTCACGCCCCTAGCTATACTTGCCCCAGCAGCAGCGAGCCTCGAAGGCAACCTTTTGACCTGCAACTTGGCCCAGTCGGCGAACTCACGCCGCCGCTTCCACGCTGATTTGAGCATCTTGGCTGCAGCCTGTGCGGCTCCCTTGGGGACTTGCCAGACAAAAAACACGACAAACGTGCCAATCTTGTCGAGGGCAGTCCTTATGCGGTCCATTTCCTCCCGATGCGCAAAGCGCCATCTCATCAACGCACCACCACGTCTCTCTGGCAGATAGTCAACAATTTCGCGGTATCCATTGGCGGCAGCCAGTCGAAGGGCGAGGGCGCCATCGGGGGCGATCAAGGAGTCGTCGGCGTGGAATTCTTCCATTAATATCTTGACAATGGCAAGGCTGCCTGTCTCTGCCGCCAGTTGCAGGGCCGTTCTATCCAGAGTGTCCCAGTTGATGGTTATTTTGCCGTATCCATTGACCGTGGCGCCGCGTGAAAGCAGCCTTCGAACCATGCTGCTGTCGCGGACGCGCACCGCAGCCAGCAGGGGAGTCTCCCCCGATCTGCTCGTCGTGTTGGGCGAAACGAGGCCCGTGGCGATGAGGCGCTCAACCTTGTCACCGAGTCCCCGCTGTATAGCGTCGAAAAATGACCAAACGGTGTCAGCTTCGGCCTGATGGCGCTCTGGCGCATGGCGATGCTCCTCATTTGGCCGTTCGGAGGTGTTGTAAGCGGGCGGGTTCGCTGGTGCATACGAGATGGGCGAGTCGACGTCGGAGACGCGGTTGATGCCAGGGCGCAAGCTTCCCTCATCTGTGGCCGAATATATCGGTAACGTCGGATCCCCCTGTTCCACTTCTTGTTCTGCTAGGAAACTCATCGATGAGAGACTGAGAGTTGTGGGTGAAGTCGACCGGAGCTCGCCGCTGAATGCGTCTCCCTCAGTCCCCCTCTTATTGCTGGAGGAACGGAATTCCTGGCCTTTGTTGGGACAAATGACAAAGGTGGTTTCACCGGTTTGTGAGCGCTCAGGCAGGGGCTGAATCAATAATAAGGCCCTGTTGACACCCAACGCCGCCCGGTGACATCAAACGCCACCGGCTCAAAGCCTCGGATTGTCCGCTTGCATCAAAGAATCCGCCGTACGCAGCCTCATCAATCGGAGTATTCTGGACGCTTCTTCAAAGCTTCTGTTCCTGGTGGTGGGTGTGACTAGAGCTTGGACCATAACCGCTCACTCAATGGCAAAAGTGCCGTCGCCCATCTTGAAACGCGGCACGACATGGCAAATGGAGTCCGGCATACGAAAATGACAGGTCTTATTTTCACGATTGATTATATATGAAACGAGCAAGAACATCCAGAATTCGAGGTCTATTGCATGCAGCCTGCCGCATGCTCCCCAGGGCACCATGTAAAGAGCCATGGCTATTTATAGACAATCATTGATGGCCCAGACCTGCTTTCTTGCACCACGGTGGGAGACTGAAATTCCCAGAGACGCTATATAGAGGAACCGCATCTCTTCCCGGAAGCCCAAACCCAGGTCCTTTAAAATCGAGATAAATCCGCAGGCAGGTAACATTTTGACTGTCCGGTACTACTACCATTACCCCGTCCTGCCATCACTCGTTCCCCCCATCTTCATCAGAACCATGACTCGAAGCTTTTTCCTCGGTTCCAAAATGTCGGATAACGAGCCAAGCTGGCACAATGGATACAGCCCACAGCGCAAAGTTGATATATACGCCACCAACTTGGGCGATTATGGTAATGGACGACAAGCCATAGCTGACGGCTTGCCAAGCCGATTCCGTCCCTCGAAGAAGCGCCGCATAGCGAACAACCTCGCTATTATCTGTGGAAATATTCTGAATGATAAAGTACCTAACAATGTCAGCGAGGCCCTCGAATACATGCGCAGTCATGGTTGTCCACTTACAGAAAGAGGTAGTTTAGTTGGAAGCCGAGAGTAAGAAAGACAAAGACCAAGAATGCAGCCGCGAATCCTGGGCTGGACCAGTCGTACGTCGGCTGCGTATTTCGGAACTTGGTGACTAGAACCGTTGCCCACGTCCACCACGCTCCCTGCAGTATGACAATGAGCCAAAACGACGATCTTGCTCGTGTCTTGTGCGGAATCGAGGTACGATCAAGCCAGGACTGCGGTTGAAAATCCGTCAGCAGTGTCACAGTGGTGCCATTTGCGACATGGAGTCAAGTCATCTCACCCCGAGTACATTTCCGCCAATGACGGCTATTATCCCGGATAAAAATGACCCCAACGCCCTCGCGCGGACCGAGAACCAGACTAGCAAACGTCAGCCACGAGTTCCATCCCGCTCAAGGTGGCAACTCACGAGACAGGTAAGTAAAGAAGACGGCCTCTGCAAACACAGCCTGGCCAATGAAGAGCACTATAAGAAGAAACTGCTTGCTGAAAAACAGCTTGGTCGTGCGGAGTATTTCCCTCCCAGGGTTGTCGAGAATGGACAGGTCGACCTTTTTCCCATCCTTGCGCTCTACCTGATGGGGCTGGTTGAGCAGCAAGGCCACGAGGGGACCCGAAGCCTGCAGCGCAATAAAGATCAAGAAGACGGTATACGAGACCTTTCCGGCCTCGTCCTTGTCCGCGTTGAGCCCCAGGTTGATGGCGCCGCCGAGAACCTGCCCGGCAAGCCGATACGTCAGCCAGTAGCCCAGGGCCTTGCCCTGATTCCACGGCTCGGGATAGGCAATGGCGATGGCGGCCTCGGCCATCCAAAACACGCCGGCGGAGAGGCCGCAGAGCGCTGCGCCCAGGATGACGAGCCACTCTGTCCCGAATCTGTTGTTTGTGTAAAGCCCGGCTGCGTAGGGGGCGTATCCGAGCCTGGGGTTGTGAGTTTCAGAGTACCTTTTGACGTGCTTGACTTGACTTACGTTCCGAATATCAGGGCGCCCTTGATACCAATGTAGTGAACGAGCGCGCTTGATACCCAGCACGAGACAACCATGAGGCAGAATGTCAGTGCGTTGGCCGTGTTGACCAGGTACGGCTTTTGCGCGCCGCCGCCGCCGAGGGAGTTCATTGCACCCCATATTCCTGGCGCCGCGAAGTTACACAGACCGAGAATGGTCATGTTGTAAAAGGTGGACCGGTACCATCTGACTGCAGACTGTTAGATGACGCTGGCTGGCTTGTCCCGGCAGCAATACACGTACCCTTTTGCTGGCGTTGAACTGCCGCTGCTTCGGGTTCGGGCTTCGTCGTGGAGGACATGTTGTGTTGATGTGCCTCGGGGGAGTTGCGCAGTTTACCACGCAATGTTTGAATAAAGCCAGCCCATACAAGCAAGTGTCCGTCTTAAATATGCCACATTGATGTTTGTATGCTTATCTGACAGAGGTTGAAGTGGATAACGTGTACAGTGTCGCCAGCACCCAAGACAATCACGTCATCATCCTGGATGAGGGTTCAATCTTGACTTACACGCCGCCAAGTACATTGGCTCGATTGGCATTGCTCCGACGTCGGTAGGAGAACCAGACGCCGTCGCAAATCACGAATCCCGCATTTCGCACATCATCCACAGTCAATCCATGTCTTTGACAAGCTAGTGTATTTTCACGCAGCCACTATGGTAAATCCCACCAGCTTTCATGCAGCTCTCTCAAGTCCATGTCCGCAGGGCTCTTCAGATACGACGTCATATCCGACCCCGGGTCCAGCTCCTTTCGCGTCTTGCCATTCCCAAAGTACCAGAGAAACCGATTCCCAGCGCCGCCGAGATACTCATACTCAAAGTCCTCCCACCTCGGCTCTCGCCGAACCAGACTCAAGTGAGCGGCGCTGCCAGGCCAGACGCCATGGATTCGAGACCCGGCCCGACCGCCGTTATACCACGAGCTGCAGTTGTCAGACAGCACCGTGTCGGCAAAGAAGGCGTCGCAGTACTGGACAAAGTCGTCGGCCGCTGCGCCCGACGCGCCCATCGCCTTGATGCCTTCCCTCGACACCTTGCGCAGAATCTTGGCAAAGTAGGCGAGCTGCGTCTCTACGGAATGCGGCACCGTCCCCGAGGGTCCCGTGCCGTGCGGGCCATGCAGGAACAGCAGGTTGGGGAAGCCGGGCGTCGCCACGCCCAAGTACGTGTAGGGAAACCCGTAGACGCCGTCTTGCCTCCACAACTCGGCGAGCGTCTTGCCGTGGGCGGTGATGGACAAGGCCGGCACCAGGTCCGACCTCGATCCGGTGGCGCAAATCACCGCATCCACAGCCCGGTGCTTTCCGTCTTCTGTTTCTATGCCCGACGCGGTGAAGCGCCGGATCTTCGTCTGGATGTAGTCTACATTGTCTTGGACAATGGCCTCCAAGTAGCCCGGCCCGGGGGTAAGTCGACGGCAGTTTGGCGAAAAGTCGGGCACCAGCTGGTCCGCGAGCTCCGGTTTCCCAGCAAGCCGTCGCTTCATGATGCTGGTAAAGGTTGCCTTGAGCTCGGCGTTTTCAGCCGTCCCGCGGAAGAAGGAGTCGAACCGTCGCCAGTACTTGTCCTCGAGCGCCTTCCGGAACTCGAGGTATGCCTCGTCGTTTTGGAAACCCCCCTGCTCGTCCTGCGAGATGGGCTGCGCCTCGAGGGTTCTCTCGTCGCCCGCCCAGCTCGTCGCTATCCACGTCTTGCTCCTCGCGTAATGGTCGAGGCGGGCGACCTTTTTCTGCAGATTGGCCACGACTTGGATCCCGCTTGCGCCGTTGCCAATCACGGCCACCGTTTTGCCGGCTGCATCAAACGTGGCATCCCAGTTGGAAGCGTGTCGCAGGGTGCCCTTGTACTCGGACATGCCCGGATACTCGGGCAGCTTCCAGTCGTTGAAGCGCCCGACTGCTGCGATGACAAAATCGTACTCTAGTGTTGATGCGCTCCCCGACTTGGTTTCCGTCACGCGAAGCGACCACTTGCCCGCGTCGGCGTCCCATCTCGCAGCGTCAACGCGGTGGCCAAACTTGGCGTACTTGTACACATTGTACTTGCGGGCAACGGACTGCCAGTAGTCTCGTATCTCGTGGCCCGGCGCGAACTTGTCGGACCAGTCTTTCTTGGGGGCAAATGTAGATTGATACACGTGCGAGGGGATATCACAGCGCACGCCGGGATAGATGTTCTCCAACCATGTGCCGCCCTATTTGCATGTTAGCCGAGTATGATATTGCAACCACGCAAAAGCCAACTCACAAAGTCGTTATTCTTTTCGATAATTGTCAACTCAATTCCGGGGACCTTGGCCGGCAGGAGAATGCCTGCAAGGATGCCGGCCAAACCACCGCCTATGACGGCAACTTGGAGTGGGCGTGGTTCATCAATGAATCTATCGATTAGCGAAACCTTGGGCAGCTCATACGATAGCTCAGGTGGGCCGCTTGAGCCATTAATGTCTTGCTGGAGTGTACGCCCCTTGATAAATGGCGTCCCGCCATTCTGGTGGCGTTGTGTCTGGCCCTGGGGCAGCGGTTCCTCAGTCGCAGCAGTCATTTGTTTCCTTGGATGTTGATGAACAAGAAAGCGACCGACTGCCTCCAGGGCGCTGAATACTTATGCCCTGCTAGACCTTTCCACTCAATGCGCGGGCTGGCCGTCACGTTGGCGTTGGCGGAGCACGTAACGACACCCCAGGATCGCATCATCCAACTAGCCGATTGTCCATCCAAGGAACAGGGCCCTTTGCGGTACTGGTCGGGCATTGTACCGGACAGCCACTAATTGTCTCTGTGGAACTCAATTGGAAGGGTTCTTTTCTTGAGGCGCGGCCAATTACGCGCGCACGCCTAGGTCTCTGTTACTCACCGTCATGGCGCGTAGCCAAGTGGTGACGTACTTGACCATGAGAGACTTGTTCTCCTGTTGACGCGAATCAGCGCAACGTGACGCGCAAGTAAACCTCCATATGTAGCATCAGGTAGAAACCTATCCCAGTGAACGACTCGTTTGGCGAATGCACAGGAATAGTATCTTTAGTCGTCCTCTTCAATGGTCTGTGAGGCGGATGGTGGGACGACGACTATCTGTTCTTGCTCATCACGGCAAATGATGTTGTTGGAATAATGGGGAGCGCTCTCAATGGCAATGGCTTCAATTCCATCTCAATTCTATCGTCCTAGCCGTGAGGATTCACATCACTCCAACCATGAATTGCCTTGACAAGAATCACTTTGAACACAACCGGTGTAAAAGGCGTAGAAAAGATGCATCATGGCGAATATCTACATCGTGTGGCCGTGATAAACCAAGTAAGCGGATTGGCTCCTTTGACCCAGACCTTTCAATTCGATGGCGGAACAAATAGTATGTAGCCCTGATTCAAACAGGACTTGTGAGCAGAGTTCAAACAGTTTCCATAGTCACCTTGCCGCGTTTCTCCATAGCGAACAATGCAGTGTCGTCAGCAGGAAAACCCCACGGCTCTGCATCGCCTAGCCTTGTCGGCCTTTATAAGAACTGCCTGTTCCGGTTCATTTCCAGGGTAGCAGTCCGCACAGATGGGGTAGTACTGCCACACTGCGCTTTGCTTGCGTGCAAAAGTGTAGTCGACAACATGGCAAGTCCGGGCAGTGTACTACGCCCGGCTTCCACGGCCAACGACTTGGGGAAATGAACACGGCCAGAAAGGGCATGATGACGATTGAGCTCGCCTAGAACGTATTGTTAGCTTGTTATTAAACCATGGGAGTGAGTGAGACACATTGTTGCTTTTGGGTAATGGCATATGGCGACCCCGATGCTGCTCGATCTGCAACCTCTTGATATTATAATACGCAACAGCTTGGCCGACGATGAAAATAAAGGAGCAATTTTAGGGGCGGTCTGGAGTGATAAGGAACCCCCAAAGGCATCATATACAATGATAAAGACTCTGGTGGCACCGGCGATGGAAAGCAGAAGGATCATGTATCCGGTGATGCAGTGCAAGAGCAGCGCCTTGTGCCAAACGACGGGAAGAAACTGCAAGACAACCATTATGATTGCCGGCAATACGGCACAGAGATGAAATGGCATACCGGCTTTTGATAGTCTGTGCGAGTGGTAATAGGATTTCTCGGAAAGCGCATGTCCAACCGAGATTTTGGGTTGCAAAAGATGCCATTGATGTCGAGGTACATGAGGCGCGACAGGCAAAATGCCAATAGTACGCATCCCAAGACGAGCCACAAGACAAAGTTGAAGCCTCCGGAAAAGCCTAGATGAATGTATGCGCGCCTGCTTTTGGCAACAAGTTTTGTCGGCGGGAGGTCTGTAAGAAGCCGTTGTGGATGCATGTCATCAGACAAAGTTGGTTTACGTCGGATCGCGGAGGAACTGAATGAAATCCTCGGACATTTGGCGGGAATTTATATTTCTTGTACATGATCCAAACATGCAGAGAACAGTGAAAACCTCATCTTCATTTCATATACAGCCTCTATCCGAGCCCATGGATTGCGTGTCCAGTTCATGTCCATGTCATCTCGCTTGACTGCTTTCCTTTCGTTTCCCACTTGGCATGCCAGAAGCGCGCAGAATGAATCCTAAAGAGGCTTAGGGCAGCGTGATGCGAAATACATATGTCCGGTCTTTGGAGTACGTTGAAACTAGTTGGTGCGATATTCTAGGCAATGCGCCGAATGTAAAACTGACTCTAATCGACATGGCTTAACCAAGCCTATATCGTTCCAATCGATTCCCTCCGTCTATCACTCAGCTCGTCTCACTGTCCACGTCCTTCTGCCACAACACAGAGACCTCCTTTCCTCCACCCTTGCCCGCAGGAAGGCTTTCCAGGCCCAGAGACTTGAACCCGAGGCGGCGGGGGATGGCACCGCTTCGATGGTTGCGCTCATCGTGCCTGATCTGCACGTGCTCGGCGCCCACCGCAAAGGCTGTACGAGTCAGAAGCGACGCGGCGCGAGTTGCGAGTCCGCGACCAGTGGCTTCCTTCGCAAGCCAGTAGCCGACCTCGAGGGTATTGGGTGCCTTGGTAGCCGGTGTCATCAGCCCAAACGAGCCGCTGATGCGGCCGTCGACTATGATGGCAAAGTCGTACGACTCTCCGTTATCCCATGCTTTGGATGTGAAGTCGAGGAATTGCTGTGCTTTGGTGAGATCGTATCCGTCGGCAGCCCATGGCATCCACCGCGCCAGCTCGACGGCCGAGCCGCTCGCGGCCGCGTGTAGCTCGGCCGCATCAGAGAGCTTCCATCGTCTCAGAACTAAATCGCCTTCAACAAGACGTTCTGGCGGTGCACGGATGGTCCTTGGTGGCGTGACATGCTCGTGTTGGTGGCTGAGTGCTGGCCGTGATGCGGCACCTTGGCCCTCTGCAGGACTGGTGGAATCGGCAAGATTCTTTGTTTCGACATGGATTGATGGCATTGTTTCCTCGGCTGCTAGGACGCCAAGTATAGCATGAGGTTTGCTGGCCAGCTACCTACCTGGTATGTAAAGACCGTCGACACTTGACGGTACCATGTTGGCCAGTCTACCGAGTAGCAATGTCGATATGAGTCACCCACGTGAAATCGCCAAATCAGGAAAGCAGGAAGAATGAATTGTTTGCGAGGTGGCCGCTTGGCTCCACATTTCTCTTGCTACTCTTTCTTACTCTATAATTGATTTATGGAAGCTCGTCGCCATCCACAGTACAATCCGGTATGGTGTAGTGGCTAACATCGCTCGCTCTCACCGAGCAGCCCAGGGTTCGATTCCCTGTACCGGAGAATTTCAGTATGGCTTGAATTTTTGCTCGTTGGATGTGTTTGATCTTTCCGTCTCGTTTATCTTATGACTTTTTTTTTTTTTGCCCAGTGACACGTGAGGAGCCAGATGTTCCAGGAGCATTTTTCACGAACCTAGGCGGCGACAATGTTACAAGGAAACATCATGCAATAACAATAACTTGGAAAATCTGAAAACCACCCCAAGATGACGCTATTGCGACGCGATATTGCTGTGAGTCCAGCCCGTAGACTTTGTAAATATATCTCATGTCAGACGAATAGTTTTTTCCGCGCTGTCATTTTTCCCTTTTGGCATTTCTTCGTTCGTACCTCTGCCGTAATGTCTCGAAACCTCAAACTGCGGACCCGCTTTGCATCTGTGACAAGGGTACAATTGTAGACTTGGAATAAAAAGGTTCAAATTCAGGGATAATCAACAAGGGTATCAAACCTCCTTGGTTTCTAAGAGAAAGAAAGAGACGAGCGACCACTATATATACATGAAGAGAATGTCTGTGTAACCAACAGGTCCTTTGTCGGCAAAGTCCCTTTGTTGGCCTTCACCATCTGTTGGGCCTTGTCCGTGTAACAGAATCGTTGAACCGTTGACAGGCAAGACGCCTAGCACGTCTGGTAGGGTCAATGGGGCCACATGTTCCAATGCATGTCGCCACGCCAGTTGACTGCTCCCGGTCATGGATGTGCCGGAGCCGAGACCCGGACTTGGGACTTACCAATGACGAGCTGCGATTTGGCGGCGTACATTAGCAAAATACCTCATGTGGGACGCCTGCTGATAAGTAAAGGAATTGGAGCGGGATCTAAGTCAAAAGTCAGAGGCTTTGTTGCCATCCAGGTGTGGCACACGACCAAACTCACGAGTAGTCCATAAAATTGTACATATTGCTTCGTCGCCAGCCGCCACAGGCCCAAACCTTGGGCCTAGGGTCGTCACGTGACGGTTCTTCTTGTGGATACGTATCGTCGATGTCATCCCCAGGAAAGCACCTACGCTCGCCCCAATTCCCCGACTCAAATGTATGATACAAGCCAAGATAGTGACCAACCTCGTGGGTAGCGATGTGGTTCTGGTTTACCCAACCCTCGACCCCAGGGACACTCTGAGCAATCACCGTGCACCCATCGCGAATGAATTCCACGTACTCAAGTTGGCGAGGGATGGGATAGTAGCAAATTCCAAAGGTTCTTGGGCCATAACGTTCTTCCCCCGGAAAGGATGCGATGAAATACATGTTCAAGTCTGCGTATCCGCCCCGGCGTAAGTAGTACTTCATACGAATCTCGTCGTAACCATAAGCCCACTGAGTGTTCCTTGTATACGAAACATCAGCAAGGGTAAAGGAAATTCCGACGTATCTGTATTGCTGGTTCATAATTTGTATTTGCCGTTCGATCAAATGCCTCTAAGTGCAATTTCAGTCTCCCGGGCTGCTCGATTCCAAGAAAACTTGAATTTTACCTGTACATAGCCACCATCGGCCCTTCCATAATCGAATACGACATGCGCATAAACCTGGATGTTGGCGTTTTCCAGTTGTCGACGTGTGAGGGACGAGTTGGAGGCCTCGAGTCGTAGTTTGCGGGAAATTTCCACAAACTCTTGGCTTGGAACCTGCTCTTCGCACGGCGACGCTGCCTCTTGACGCACATGGATTGCGCCTGCATTGACGGCATTTGCCATGAGCATGGCAACCAAAAAGGTGAGCAAAGACATTGCAGAATGCATAATAATACCAGCCAGTCACCAAAGGACTGGATAACTTGAAAAGGAGTGACGAAAGCGAATGAATGGGTACATCACGACTGAAATTTACAGACAAGGCTCTCACATTTATAGCATATGCCAGAGTGTTCATCGTCCTGCGAGTATCTCGGCCTACCGCGTCAGGCGTCGACTGACCCGTTAGTTTGGACCAAGGATCAATGTCACTTGCCATGGCCGAAGGACTACTCCCTGCCAGGGCCATGTTTCATATAACTGTTGTAAAGGAATAGTATTATTATGGATGCCAGCATAAGGTAATCTTGAGATTTCCCGCTCATCTTGCAAATTATTGTCCAACAAAAGGTCTTCCAAAAAAGCCACGTTGACCTGTGCTGCGAGATCCACCGCGATGCAGTTCCGCGGGCCTAGATGAAACAACAGTCTCTTTAACTGCGGAATGACTCGGGGAGGCTCGCTTATCGAGGAAAGTTATATGGCAGAGGAGTCTCTGCGAGCCATCCCGCAGCTAAGGAGTTAATGTGGGACATTGCTCCTCAGATAGATTACAATATGAAACCTATTAAATTGGCAATGCAAACGCCGCCTTATATGCGACTAAAGAGAACGTGGACCGTTAAACATAGCATTAAAGTAAACTGCCAACGTAAAGACTGACCCAAGTTTGCAATTAGCCTTACCAAGTCGCCAGCTTTTCTTCTTTTCTTTGCCCTTTTTATTATACACACTAGTCTAGTATATTCGCTATATATCTCTAGACTGTCACAGGGCGTACTTTGCCATAGTATGGCCTGATAAATTACTGTAGCATTAGTGCGATCCATCTTTATAAACTTTATAGTAAGTGGGGCTGGGAGGGCCAATTATGCAACTTTGTGTGTAATTCATGGCTACCATGGTTGTGACCTATAACTGCATAGCTTAGCCCCAGAGTGTTGGCCCTGCGTCGTTTCGGAATATACTAGTTAACGCGACTTGTCCAGCTAAACCCGCACATCCTCCGCTTTACTATCAATATTTCAATGCTGCTTCAGCTTATATCGCCAAAAACGAAGGGTAATTGGCAAGCGAAGACGGGCGTGGCACGTTGGCGCGACCCTTCATTCTCCCCAGCCTGTCACAACAGCTGGAGAATAATCAATGCCAATGGTCGGCCCAAGACACAAAACGTCATATTAGATGCACACGATAGCTCAATCGGATGAAAGCCCGGTGTCTTGTCCAGGAATCCTTCCACGGAATGGATTCCGACAATCCCCGGCGAGACGCCCGGTCGTAGGCTGCGGAAAGGGGCAAAGGGGCCATCGTCAGGTTCCCTCTGGACAGGTCCGCGGATCCGAACAGCAAATACGCGGAGCATGGGTGACCAGACCCCTATTGTCGCGGGCGCCAGAAAATGGTAACGAGAGCGTGGCCGGCACATAATGTCTGGTTGCTTCAAGACTGAGCCGCTGCCAACAGTATCGATGCTGTTTTTAGCAGAACGGCGCTGTCATGGCAGCAGAACTAGGATACGGGGGCATTTGCAGAAGTACTAGATAGCAGCGCCGTAGCCGACTTTGCGGACGATTTAGGGCAAACACCGTTGATCTTTCTCCCGGGCTGCTGAGCGTGGCTGTTGCGAAGTCATAATGTTGCTGCTCGGGGGAAACATTGAATGCCAAGGTAGATTCCAAGGACCACTAAGACTGGATGCCGCTCTTGCTCACCTCTAGTGGAGGCTATAAAGTAGCCGCAAAATTGTTTATTGCTTTAATATTTTAGAAATAGAAATAGTCGCTTTTCAAGACAACAAAGAACGCTTACACAAAGTAATAACTGCAAACGCCAGGGGCTATAAAGGGATTATTAATACTCCACTCTTTAATATTATTATTTTTAATATATTAAATACATAATATTATTATATTACTCATAATTAAGCTTAATTAAAATACTATAGGTCTTACTTAAAAGAAATATTCACGTCAACTTCTTGGACAAGTCACACCGCACCCCTTTTTTATACGTTATAGAAAAGCGAATAAATAATTTATCACGATAAAACCTAGGCGTAGTTGCAAAGTCTATGTATAAATATGCTATAACACAAGCTTGCCGCTCATGCAGTCAACTCGAATTTATCTGATTCAAGGAGCTGTGACCGCCCGCACTATTAGTGAAAGGGCGACTAGTTGGCTATAAAAAGACAACTTACCTCTAACGCCGCTTCGATATTCACCTTGGCCTTCTAGGGCGATTTTCCTCGATGAGTATTCTTGCGTAAAACAGCAACCATGTCATGTTTTTACCGCTTTTCTAGTTTCCTCAATAGTTTCCTTTACATGTAAATTTGCGAAATACGCTATCGCCTCGGCATACGGCTGGTTTCGCGTCAAATCGTACCCTCCCTTTGCGTTTCGCTCAAATTGCTGGAGTGTCCGTTCGATAGGGTGCTATTTAATCCCAATATAGCAGGGAGGTTAGCGAAGAGAAGAACGAGAGTAGTTGAGACCTTAATTGTAGAAGCTTGTAGGTTTCTTCGCGTTGTATAGAACGAATATAATAATAGTAGGATAATAGGTTGGTAACATGGCAATGCCACTGTGGTCTTTATATAGTCTTGGACGTTGCCTGACGCATCGTGGATTATTGGATTATTGCTCTAGGGCTATTTAACCGCTGCGCCTGTAATCCTTGCGATGCCCTAGCCACGTGTTTGTCCGATAGTATAACTCTGCTATTCTAGGATATAGCTAAAGCGTAAATTAATAACCAGTTTGTTCCTGGCGCTGCTGCTTGGTATAAAACCTGTGGAGAAACTCTTATTCGCTGGTTACGGTAAATGACCTATTAACCACATAACGCCCAACCCCTTGGATTGGCCGTCCCAATAGGAGAGGACTAGAATAACTATCCCGTGGGAAGACTAGTCATTACACCGCAACACGAAATAGGCTCGAGAGTACACATGACCTGACTATTGCTCACTGTCGGTTTATCTACACTCTTATTCTATTATTACTTTACAAGGGATTATCTTATAGAACACAGCAAGTCTCGTGGATATTATACTAGTAAACTTTTATAAAAAACAAGTACCAGCCTGTTTCGGAATTATTCCTCGTAATATCTAGGGCAAAGGGACCCCTACAAGCCTTGCCGTGATCCTATAATCCATAATCTGTGTTAGTTAATATAAAATCATGCATTTATCCCACCAAGGCGTGCCAGTTGCCCTACTGGTCACGTAACCGTCTAGGTCTAAGATCCTAATACTAGTAACTTCCGCCTTAATTAATCGCGCTATGTGCCACATTAGGCTTTTTAATTGAAGCCCTTACCACACCTTAATATGGTGTGTGGCACGTGTACTGCACTTTTATCCAGTCTAGCGTGGGCCGCGTACTAATAATTAGAAAGATCATCAGTTTTCTAATAAATTCCACTAATTTATCAAGATTATCTAGTATAAGTTTACGAGTCAAGTGCGCATACATAGGGCGAAACATTTAAACGCAAAGTCTGCTCAAAAGGGATACCAAGGCGAACTCGTTGGACGAGTAACTCGCCTCCATTGCCATAGCGTCGCCGCAGAAGGCAGACATGAAGAGTCGATCGGTGCAATACTACTCCAAAGAGGTGCCGATCATAGATTCGCGAAACAACCAAAGCCACACTCTGTCCCATGCGGCCGTAGGCGGTTCCACGAAAATAACGCAGTTACTCCTCGAACGGGGTGCCCAGGCAGACGTCGAGGACGAGAATAGCTCTACGCCGTGAGCCCTTGCCGCAGAAGACGGGCATCAGAAGCAATGAATGAGCATGTTTCTCCGGGACGCCGTCGGCCCTGATGCCTGAGGGCCACTCATTTTTCACAGACGACAAAACATTCAGCAGGTCGATATACATGATGCGGGAGGTTTGACTATATTCCCCAGCATACGCGGAGTAACAACTGCATTTGAATAGCCGAACCGGCGTACCAGCCCGCCAGTGCTCTATCCAAGAAGCCAACCCTCCATCGACACCTAACCTTGCATCACCAACGCAACTACAACCATGGGGATATCATTCATCCATGTCCCCTTGCTCTAAAGGAGTAGAATTTGATAAGAATCATGTACATTACATTCATGTTCCACAAACACCGACAGCCACCTCCTCTCGTCTCCATATGAGACGCCGCCATCGCCTCTCACGCACCCCCAGTCTTGGGCCTGTACTGCACCGTAGACGGACACTTGCCCTTGGTGCCGTCCGGGGCGGAAGCGACAAACTCGCCGCCCTGCAGCGACCCCCGGACATTGAAGTGGTACCAGACCTCGTTGAGCACTTTGCCCCTGCACCCCAGCGTGACGTCGGCGCCGTGCCGCCCGGACAGCGCGCCCCGGACCCGGTCGAGCGAGTACGTCTTGCTGGACGAGGGCGTGATGCCCGCGTCCTCCAGCCACCGGTACGTCGGCAGCGTCTTGAACAGGTCGACGGTGGTCCGGAAAAAGTCGGCCGCCTCCTGCCTGGCCCTGTAGCCGTCGTAGCACCTGGGCTCGAGGGTGCTGATGCAGGTGCCGTGCTTGGCCCATTCGTGCTCCCAAAAGGTCTCGTCGTCGCCCTTGTAGTCCTTCCAGAACCGCCTCATGTAGGCCAGGGTGTCGGCGGCGCCGTTGCCCGTCAGGATGTCCTCGATGCCCGTGTAGGCGCGGCTGCCGTCGCACTGGGCGGGATACGTGCCGTCGCAGTTGTCGGGCCAGAGGCCGTGGATCGTCCAGGAGTCTGCACGGCGCCCCGTGTTAGCTTGTCCCCGGGCTATGTGGCCGCGCGACTCTACCTTGTGGCCCGGTGGCCGGGTCGGTGTCCCAGAACTGCGTCTGGAGAAGCTGTCCCGTGGGAATGAAACAGCATGTATTCTCGACGGCCGTCTGGTTGTGGCACGACAATGGCGAGTCGGCCGGGCAGGCCTTGGGCCCTGCGGCAAAGGGGCTTGCCGCGGCGCCCGAGGCGAGGACGAGCAGACGGGCCAGGTTGCGGAGAGAGGCCATTTTGAGAAAACCCTTTGAGAAGCCCGTAGACAATGATGCGGCGTGGCTCGTTTGGATGCAGACAAACCTCGGTCAAGCCATGGACGGCCGCCGTTGGTTGTTTTTATAGTTTTGCTTTGCTGTCTCCTTTGCCTCATGCCTGTTGGCGATGATTGTGAAAAAAAAGGCAGGCCGGACAGGATTGGATGACTGCGCCGACACTTGACGACGCATAACGACGATCGGTGGGACGGATGGCCCCAAGAGTTTCGCATCGCGCCAAACATGGCCACATGGTGTCTTGGATTGGCTGGGAAGCTCAACGTTTCTGGTAGGTGTCATTGCCCTCGCTTACGGGAGGACATCTGGACCAGGGCGAAGTGGTCGGCGCGGGCATCGGTGCCCAAGACGGTCTAGCGGCAGTGTCTTGGGAGTGAGATGCTCGCACGATTGGACTTCCATGTTGGATAAACTAAGTTATATCGGTGTTGGTGCGAGTAGCGCGGGTTGAGTGCATGTGGTTCGTCCGAGGTGACGGCCATGGCTGCTCATAGGCCGTGAGGGCCTGGCGCCGGACGCTCGACTCGAGAACCAATCATGATGGCCATGTAGCCGGGGCCGACCGATGGCAGCGTCGATCATGGATCGGCAACGGGTCACCACCACGCCCCTGAAATAGAAGTGGGAGCCTGGCGAGGTGAGACTAGGCGGCGTCCAAGACATTGCCCCGCCTGGCTCTCGGCTCATCCGTCGTCATTGGGAACCACTGCCGACAGTGACATTACCCTATTCGACAGTATTCTGGAAAAAGCTGAGGAATTGCTGCACAAACGCCCGCGGCATGGCACCGACACGGAGTGCATGCAGTCCAGCACCGGCACCAGCATCTTCGGATAGACACCGCTGCTGTCCCCACAACAAGCAAGTCACGACGACGTGTATTCAGTCCCATCGCCACTGGTTCTAATCACGAATGTAATCCCAGTGCCTGGCCGTTTTGTGTGTCGCCCACCTCGGCAGTATGCTGCAGCTTGCACAACCAGACCTTCCTAGATAGGCCAACTAGTTGTGGGCAGGCACCGGCGTGTAACCGAGCCTGGCGATCAGCAAGCTACACACGTACCCTGCTACAAGGCCTATGTGTGCGCAGGTTCTTGTTGTAAATGTCTGTATCGAGTAGTATATAGTTCATTGGTCCGTCATCAGCATTCGACCTGTTACGCCGCCGAGTAACCAGCGCTGCAAACTCCCCAGTCATCGTGCAGTCAAGACTCAACACCACACAAACTCTCTGGTAGAACCCACGCGTCAGCTATTCCTGACCTGGCTCAGTTGCCGCTCACAAAGAAGTGGTCCATGTGCCAATTCGCTCCGTGCATTAAACAGTTCATACATGTTCTGGGTATTCCAAGTCATGACTCATCATAGTGTACAAAAGGCTCGTGTATCTTTCCCCCCACTGCTTTTCAGCATGCTATGCCGACTCCTGTGCTGCCGTTTTCGACTTGTTCTTACTCGACCTATCGTACAAGTAGGCAAACAACAAGGAAGCAAAAAATATGTAGGCCGACGAGATGCCAATCCAGACAAGCTCGGCCTTGTAGGCCCGATTCCACTCCAGCCTCGTCGCACTCTCAATGTCATCGGCGTTTAACAGACCGACGCCCTCGTCCACCAAGAACTGCCAAACATGGTCTCGTCGTGAAATGGGCCACGACGGCAGAGACCAGTATCTTGACGTTAGATTCTTGGCCGCCGCGGCTTGCAGGGCAGCTCGAACGTGGTCTTTTTGACTGCTCGAAAGGCCACTGTTGGTTGGCCTGAAGGTATGCATCAGTGGTGCCGATGCCGTGTAAAACTTGGCAAGCGGTCGGTCCAGAAGAGAGTCCACCTGGCAGTCTGCAAGTTTACCCAAGTTGGCGTCGTCGACAAGCGCATCAATGGGTGCATCGAGGAAGCTGTCCTTGTACCGATTCAGAGCGTCGCATCCGACTCCCGTGACATTCGACTTGTCGATATTGCCAGACGCGACGACGGTGACGGGACCTTGCTTGAAGACGGGTGCCGACTTTGAGCTGGATGTGCCGTTGCTGTATTCAAGCGTGGAGAGGTAGCCGCTTTTGCGGAGGGGTTCCAGCTGGTTGTCAACTACGGGCCAGATGTCTGTTGCGTTTCCCTTGACGTCAATGAGGAGAACTAATGTGGTATCAGGTGCCGTGTGAAACACGCCATTCGGCCCGCCATCGAGGTCAGTGACGTTGTCAGGATTCAACTTGTCGAGAATCTCCTTGATCGGATTGAGATAGAGGGTTTGCAAAGTTCGGCTTGCTGATAGCGATGAACGGCGATGGCCAACGTAGAGGTCGTTGCCATTTGGGCTTAGCCATACATCGGCTTCAACGCTCATGCAGCCGGCCGCGAGGGCCGAGTATAATGGATGCGGCCTCCAGTAGTCATTGTGCGAATGCACCGGTACGGGGATGACGGATTTTGCGTAGTCATTGAGGTACGTGTCCGGAGACGGGGTTGACGTAGCGATGGGATTTATGGAAATGAAGTTGTGCGACTGAGTTGGTCGCATGGCCTTGGGCTGGGCAGCCCAGGTAATGACTAGGATGATTCCGCTTTGCAGACGAGCCCGCGTCAGTCGCAAAGGCATGTTGATTGATGCCACAGCTCTGCTCATTTGAATCAACTTACATGGTCAACCCCGTCCCGCCGCTGGCAATCAGCCATAGGAGTAGTGAGCGGGCACAGAGAATTTCGTATCGGCTCGGGTCCGAATGCCGTCGCCGTCGCCGCCGCTTCTGGTCATGTTCCAGACCATCTTGTGAAATCGTCGCCGGCTTGTCCTTGTCCATCTCTCTTATCGTTGTGCCGGCCATGTTGTCTTGGGCATGTTTAGTTACTTCCATCTCTACGGCGCTGGCCAAGAATTCATCCTCTCAACTTTGATCAGCGCGTGTTCAACAGTCTAGAGATGATGCCGACAAAGGAGCCAATCATGTCCCCCAACCACAAGTCTGCAATATTGGAAGCCGTCCGAGGCCGCGGGTTCAAATGACGCAAACCATGCCTAGGCGGAGGTGTGTACTTGGGGACCCAAGGTAGCTTTATAGGAATGAGAGGTGGCATCCGGGCAGTGCTGGGCTGTGAAGAATAGTTGCATGTCGGAGGCGGCTGAGTCGGGCTGACTGACGAGCTGCCACAGACCAGGTTGTTGGGTTCGCCATTTGATGCATCACTGGCGGCATGACTGGTGCTCAACCTGACCGCAGTGGTCAGCAGCCCGCGCGCTCAGCTAAGCCCTGCGAAGTTTGTGTCCATGTCGAATGGAGGATGTTGGGGCCAGGTGCGACAAATAGTACACCACTCATGACTGCGGTCTCGCCCACGGTCCATTGGCTCTGCCACGGAACTCTGACGCTCTGGACGATGCAGGTGGCTGCTGGACCCTGGTCAGCTGGTGCTAGCGAATGCTTAGCTGCTCCCCAGCCAGGGGACAAACGAAAGATGGAATACGTCTGGCCTCAGTGCTGCCGTTTTTGCCGGCACGTGGCTGATCGGACTCTCGCCGAAGGCCCTTTGTATCTCGACTCTTGTCAGAGGGCTGAGGCTATGTGTGCGAGCTCGGGTACGCCCCGCCACCAACCCATGGCCGAGTCTGCCGTGGCTCGCGGGTGTGGTCCAGATGGCGGCCAGCGGCGTCAGAGGCTGGGATAGTCACGGCACCACCAACGCCAGAACTCAGGGACGAGTTGGAGGTCGATGCGGAGCTAGCTCGACGGCTGAACACACCACACGAGTCGTGACTGGGCAGACGGCTCTGCGGCTTGGGCGTGGCGCGGACGAAAAAGGCTTGATTTTACTTAATATATACCGGTGCCGATTGAGTTTGTCACCCAGGGTCCCCTTTGGGCTCAAACGCAGGCAGAAGGAGGGAAGCCCGCCTGAACATGTCGTGTGTCTGATTCCCCAAGTTGTGACACTCTTCGGATAGACGGCAAGCTTCTCCTCTTGGATCGGAATGCTCGACTGCGCCGCACTGATTCATTCCGACTGTCGAGGGATGGATCTGACATGTCTGGAGACGCCAACTAGGGCTGGCGCAGGGATGTTGTCGGTTGGCGCATGACGCCACTGACTACCTAAGTAGGTAGGCAGCTCTGGGGCGTGGCGTTGGTGGTGGTATTTCGATCTTGGCCGTGTTGTGATTGTAGAATTCGATGATTGTCTCGGCGGCGTCAGAATGTCGATGGTACCAGACTGTTTCTTCCTCCGCCTCCAGCGAGGTGGACGTCCTCGAGACCATCAAGGCAAGGCAAGATGAGGCATCAATGCCGACCGGATTGCTAGGCAGCCATGTGGGCGGGCCATGTGCACCGTCGACATGTGTGCGAAAGATTGGCTGACCAGACAGACGCATGCACATGTCGACGGTCTAGTGCGGGTGCAGCATGGAAGCCAAAGAGAAGCGATGATGGGTAAGCCATCCATGATGATGACTCCGCGTTTGATGCAAGAGCCAGATCACGCCGCCAGCTTGCCCTACCCTTCCAATGTCAAGTTGGCACTGGCCGTGGCACTGTGCCCTTCGCGTGCCCGCGGAGTTCCCCGCGTCTTGTGCCATTGACAGGACAGGTCAACTTGTACAGGTGTGCCGCAGTTGTGCACCAGTGCCTCCTCATGCAGGTGCGCGATTTGGTCTGGTGCGATAATTTATGCACAGGCCTCATGCATTGATGCAAATGCTTCAAAAACCACACCGCAAAACTTTCTGGCGAGAATATCCATGTTGGATACCGTCGAGTCCTTTGCCTCCCGCCTGCTGGGCCAGTTTCGGCATCAACCCCAGATCCAAGCAGAAACTGCCCCCTAAATCGCATGCATGCACGTTGACGATACCTGAGACCTCATTGTCTAAATTTGGCACTCACGCGGAGTTTATCACCGTGGATAAAGTTTCTCTGTCTCAGGAATCAGCTTGGCGTGTTCCTTTGGCCATACCAGCCACTTTAGCTCAGCCGTTCTCCTGCCATCTGCCGAGTTTGGACGCAACATGTCAACTAATAATAGCACGTCAACAATTGTGGCTTATGGCCAGTGTCTCTTCAAGCCCGTCGACACTTGCAAAGTCGATGGCACTAGGAATCTGTAACACTGCATCCATGGCTGTCGCCAGGAAAAGCTGAAATGGAGTTTCCTCCTTTTTTTTTTTTTTTTTTTCATTCCGAGGCAAGGTGACTAGCATTGGCAAGGTCTGTCGACGCGAGCCTAAACTCTGTCTTGGAACTGGACTACGAAAGATACAGCCGCGTCCTGGTGCCTTTATTGAAGAGCTTTCTTAATTAAATCACAGTGGTTTGTATAACAATAAATATAATGCTTAATCTAGTTGACAGCTTAAAGTACTCTGGCAAGTCCGGTGAGATGGCACAGCAGGGGCAGTTGCTGGTTTCCCAATCGCCACATGCCGTATAGGGTGAGCACAACCTCTACCCAAGTTATTGCCCCTTCCATGGGTACAATACCACGTGCAGGAGCATGTTATTTGGCAATATTTTCCTAATACAGGCTGTTTGAAGGCCGCATTCGCGGTGTACAGTACATTGTCTCTGTTAGAGTAGCCCTTTGACACACTTTAGAACCATGCTGTCTTGAATATCGGCCAGGCCAGAGTAGAGAGAAACAAACGACCAACGCAACTAAGATAACAAGCTCGCTCTATGCATCCACAAATGGTTGAACGGAGGCCAAAATATTGGCCCCTATATGTCTAGCCCTCCTTCTCCTCCGTATTCCAAGGTCCAGTACATAGCGTCTTGTTCAAAACCAAGGTCGCCAAGTCCCTTAGTTTACCGCTCGTCCGCAATTCCAGCACCTGTAAATGTGCTTGCAGTTCCTTTCCAACCCAGTTTCACAGCTCTATGGTGTTTGAGCCAGAGCATCAAGAAAGGTATTCACCTCGCGTACGCAGCCTGCCCCCTGTTTCCAACAACACCCGCGACGGAGGAGAGCAGGATGAAAAAGTCCAACTTGTCATGTGCAGTTGAAGTCAAACTTGAGCATGCCAACACGTGTGTTTGAAGTCATGTCACGCTTCCTAATATGGATGAACCTTCTAAGGTGCGAGGCAAGACACTAGGCAACCGTCCCATATGCTCCGAGCGGCACGGCACAGACTCCATCTCCTATTGACCGTAAGAGACGTGACCTTGACGGCACGCGCAATGAGCTACGCCTGCTAGAGGTGGCTTAATGACGAGCTCGGATCCAGATGAACAGTTGCTATCGTCTTCCCCGTCTGCGAGCGCGCGCTACCAAACAAGTCCTGGGCCATATTTCTTTCCGGGTGCAATGCGGAGCGATATGCCCCCGTCGTCAGCCATAACACGGACGACTCGGTGAGTAGCAAGCTCTGGAGTTTACTGAAGCCGTCTTTGGACAAATCTGAGAGGAAATTGTCATCAAGGTCGAGTAGACAGATGTTATGAGAAGATGGAGCCGGACTTGGTTCGTCAAAACAAGACATTGATTGACGGCTGAGAGTGTGATTGAGATTCCATTGTGCAAAAGAGTGAAGAGATCAGTTGGTCTGACGGATGTCGACCAGATACCAAGACGAGAATACTTCGTAGAGGCGTCCAGCTTCATCTCGGATGACAATGACTGGGCATCATGGTACCCATTCACCCTGTCAGCCGCATGGAATCCCTTGGGATTGTCGTTGATTTTTGCCTCGCGTCTCGAACCGTGTCCGTCGAGGCCATGATAGCCATTCAAATGCCCATTAGTCAACACGCCGTCAAGGGGCTGATGAATCTCTGATGCCCCGTTCATGTATTGCTCTCCGTTTTTCGCTGGGTGTCCGTTCGTTTCTTCTCATGTGGTGCTTTAATGTACCCGCGGTGCGGCGGTTCCATTGGGCACATGGCGGTCACGACCATTTGTCAAAGCCTCGATTTTCTCGTCCTGGACACTCATGCCGAAAGTCTTCTATTCGAGCTTGTAACGTGGCAACCTGGGCTTTTGGTCGGCGACCATGCCGCCTTTGACGTGACTCATCTTGAAATCGTCCATTATGACGACCGGCTCGCCACATGCAGCATTCCAAGCGTGGATATAGAAGGAGACGGAGCCTGGACTCTGTCGACCGAGACGACCGGCGGCTACTACCCGAACGCTCTCACTCGGCATATTCGGCGGCCTTGTGCTTATCCCAACATCGCCAATGGCCGAGGGCATGAACAGAGATGGCATGCTGCCAAAGCCAGCACCAAGCAGCGGGAAGGTGAACTGAAACATCAGGTTCATAAACGAGGTCGAGACAATGGGCCTGGTTTCATGGGCAGAATGCATCGACGCTGCGGTACCCGGAACGGCAACTCTTCCCACGGTGTAGTCCCCAGACATGTTGGTATGTCCGGCCGAGTTTACGGATGACGAGTTACGACTTGTACTCGGCCCTTGACCACCCAGCTCGGCATACATGTCTGGTCGTTCAAGGGGACGGGGACAACAGCCGTCTATTCATCCTAAGCCTCTGAAAGTCGATAACGGGCGCCTTGGAACGTCGACGCGTTGACGGTATTCGCATCCCGCAACTTTTTGGCAGACATCAAGCCTCGGCGGTGCTTAAGCCAGCCTCTACTGGGCGCCCACGGGGAGATGCAAAACTCGCTCCAGTCATTGGGTTGAGATCTAGTTCCCTCATTGTACGGACGCAAGGTGACAACTATCCACCAGCAATGTGTGCAACGGTCGAGTTGCCATTGCCACGACGGTGAATGAGGGTTTCACTTTGCGGGTACAAATTCACAAGGATCCTCATACCCTTTAGCCCGCGCTCAGATGTCATTAGAAGCTGGGATACGGCATCGACCAGACAGGTGAGTGAGGAAAGCAATTTGACCACAACCCATCAAACAGCTGTCTTGAATCTCTTGATGATTATTGTTTCAAAACCAGCCCGACTTGCCAGCAGAGAGAATGGTTCTAGTGCACTAAGCCTATTCAAGTAAAGCCAAGTCAACATTGAATCAATTTCAATTCAGTCTAGTCCAATGTCAACAGCCCCTGAGCCAGTGTTGACGCTTGTCCACGTGTCGACGGCATGTTGATGCCATTCGTAGATCTGCAGATCCACGCCTCTCCTTCATTCCCGGCAAGCTGGTTGAAGCATAGGAGATTGCACCCGGACTAGGATCCGCGGGGACGAACGGCCACCGGAGTCCATGATCTCGGGGCTAGTTCCACGCGCCGCGGCACGAACCAAAGTACCAAGTTAACCTTGAAGCCACAACCTTGGCCACGTCTCAGGCGCTGCTCGGTCTCTGGTTGATCTGGAAAGGATAATAATCCCAGGCGTGCATCAGTAGGCTGCAGTCAACCATCCGTCGCCCCTGCATATTCTTTGTGGGGAAACGCGAGGCTATTGAACGTTGCAACTTGCGACGCTGAACCGTTGCAATTATTCCAGAACTCGTCATGCCTGTGAGCAGAGTATCCCGTGGCCCGTGAAGTTTGAACAGGCACTTTGTGATGATGCCCCAAGTCAGCCCCGTGGCTAAATAGCGCAGCCAACGCGCCAGCCATTCCATACAGTTGCGAGGGATACCCAGACCCTACAGAAATTACACCGATGGCAGTGGAGTCTGGACGCACCGGGATGTGGGCGCTCAAGAACCTGTTGCTGTATAATTGAGATTGCCTTGTATCACCGCGCTTAGTGGGTGTATAATGTGTGAGCCTCGAGGTCGGAGCGGCAGAGGGAGTGATGTTGGTTGGGAGAGCGTGTCATTGTCTGCATATTAAAGTATATTCCAAAGGAAATTGCTAGAAACACGCGATCCTCCGGCACGGCATCATCCTTTGCATTGCCTGCGCTTGCGACGTGTTGGTATATGGACAAATAACGGCGTCCTACCGGAGAATCGTGATACTCTGCATTATACTCTGCAAGTCAGCGCAGACACACACGAGACTATGAATGGGCGATGCGGCCACATGGCGTTGCGAAAATTCGCCAGCTTTGTCCAATACCCCGTCGGACACAAATATATTCTCCATGCCAGAGAAGCTTCTATTCCTGACCAACTTTGGCCTTGGTCAGGCTAATGTGTTCCTTGCTGCCGCAGACGCCTTGTTGCAGAGACAGGGGAGAGTTGAAATTTATTTTGCCACTTTTAGCAATCTCTAACATCTAGATGGAGGTGTACTCTGTCAGAAAAGGAGTGCGCTCCATTACTGAGCAATTATGTTCCCTGAATATTCCGTTCACATGCATATGTACTATCTCTGGAAAAATACCGACAACAACGCCGACGGCAACACCGACTTATTTCCATCGACTTGAGGGCTTGACGATGGAAGAGGGATAAAGCAGACTGGTACATGTGTACTTTTCTACAACATCCGTTCCGTGCCGCGATAATTATCTTCCAGAGTCACACCTGAGGCCCCTAGGTATTAGAACAACAAGGCGAGCCATTCGCGACACTATAGCGACTTAGCGTCGTACAGTGGTGCTCAAATGCAGATCTTATTCAATCAAATTCGATTTTCGGCATCATGACTTGTACATCTCCGGACCTGCACCATGGCATTTGATACCGCTGAATATCTGGAAAAAAAAATTGACCCATCAAGCAGCCTTTCCGGCTTTGACCATCCTGCACCATGGCTTAGATACCCCTGAATATCTGAAAAAAAATAAAAATTGATCGATTGACCAGCAAAATTTGACCATCCTACCATCCTGCACCGTGGATTTGATACCCCTGAATATCTGAAAAAAAAATTGATCAATGACCGGCAAAAGATGGCACGCTCTGATTCCCATACTCTCGTTTAATAGGTCCGCACGCCACGGTGACAGGAGCCGCACAGCAAATCAAGGTCAATGCGCAACGCAAACGGTGGCAAAGTTTAGTCGTGGAACTGTAATTTCTTTTGGACAAGACGGGGGAGTCTTGCGAACATGTCTGGCTGCAATGGTAGCATTCTATTGGGCTGCGAATAAACGGAACATGATTACTCTTCTTCAGCTTGCTCATCTCAGTGGATGAAAAATGTCTGGATATCAGTCCATCGCGCACAATGTGTGTCGCTGTTATGAATGTGATAGTTCCATGGGCAGGATTGAAAGCAAGAGGTTCGACAGCAGCATGGTATGACGGCCATGTCGGATGCAAAGAGGGGTAAACGTGCCAATACACGCAATGACACGTCAAGATGTGATGTGACGCTTTAAAAAATGCCGAGGGTTCTGGGTTCTTTTCGAAAATAATGTCGAGACCATCGGTGTCGTCTTGACAGTGGCGCTGACACCAGCAATGCCTGGGTCGAATGGAATTCTTACAAACTGTCGTGGATTTTTTTTAAGATAATGGTCCAGTGTCAAAATACAGCATTTATTGAGAAAAGTTTGGCAACACTAATCTCGCACGCAAGAGGCGCTTCTACCATGAAGCAGTTGGGAAGTGTTAGGGTTTTAGCCTCATACAAGGTAAGATGCTAGACAAATTAGCAACGTCAAGCGATGAAATGTGATTGGCGCGACTAAACAGCTTGATTCTACATGATGGCAACAGCATCATGTCTACGTCGCCGTGCCATGGCAAATGACGCACCAACCACGCTGTCGATTATCATGACGAGCAACATTGAAGGTCCACACGCGGCCGGGCACCAAGGTCGGGGAGTGCTTTTGTGGTATCCGCGCCCATCAGGGCAAGCCAGTCCCAGGTCAAGACTGGAGTGAATGGATAAATATAGTCTGGTAGATCCGACAGCCAGAAATGTCAAGGGTCTGGTCCAGATGTCCCACTTGGCTCCGTCGATTTCGCTCCCGCTGCCGTCTTGGGACAAGACGTGCCGCCAGCCAGTCGCAACTCGGCATTCGACGAGGGAGCCCTTTGAAATTCATGGTTGGGGAAAACCTTGTCTGGTGCATGGACAGGGACTGTGTTCCGGCCCGGGCAGCCCCTCCCCCGCAGTGTGGAAGACTTGCACGTTGGAGAAGTGGACCAGACGAGATGCTCAGAGAATAATTGACTTGAATACATCATTGATGTATTGACCATTTGACGATGCCTAGCCCGCCAACTACCCCAACCCAAGCGCAACATACCCCGCAACCGTCGACGTATTTCCATGGCGAGGTGACATGGCGGTACGTCGCCCACGCTAGACGGTTGACGGCGTTGAGTACGATTGGTGCCCCTGGGCATGTTGGTGCACGACCCACCAGACGGCGAGAGTCAACATTGAACGTTGAAGAGGCAGCCCGGGGTACAAAGTATTGACTCGACATGTATTCCGCAGCTTCTCGGCAGGACGCGGAAGCGGTGCATGAGATTGCTGCGTGTCGTTGCGTGCAGCCGCCCGTGGAAGACTGTCATGCTTGCGCTCTATGATACAAAGTCTGCGGCCCGGGAATCATTCTATACATGTAGACGCTCCTGAAACTATAGGCGCTTGCTTTCCCTAGTCCCAACTGATCATTGATATGCTTCTTTCCCCGCGGGCACCATAACTCCTTTTCTCCACGCTCGCCACCCAATCATGTGCGTCGGTCCATCCGTCCACGTCCGCAACTCCATACGTCGAGTATCATCATCATCATCATGTCCGCCTTCACCCTTCCAGGGCCCTCGCCTGCGCACGCAACGCCTTATTCTCGCACACCAAGCCGCCCAACCACTCCGCCGCCCTCAGCAGAATCGCCGACTTGCTCAGCCCCCGGTCCCTCACGCCCGGCACCAGGTCCAGCAGGTCATCGAAGCCCTCCTTGATGAGGGCGCGGCGCTTCTTCTCGTGCAGGATGTGGTTGCGCCGCTTCTGCTGCTCCGTCAGCTTCTCGCGCCGCGGGCCGACCGTCGCCACCAGCGGCTTGCGCTCGTGCATCGCCGCCCCGAGGTACTCCCACGACAGGGCCCTCCACGTCGACGCCACGCTGGCCTCGGCGTCGAGGGAGCCCGTCCGCGTCCGGAGCACCGGCCACGCCGGCCGGGGCGCTTGGTTGCGGTAGCCAAACGACAGCGCCGTGAAGCCGGGTTCCTCGCTTTGCGGCGGCGGCGGCGGCGGGCTGGGCTCTGTTTCCATGTCGTCGCCCGAGGAGGCGCGCGGCGAGTCGAAGCCAGAGTCGCTGCCGAATTGCACCGAGCCTTCTTCGTGCACGGCTCGTCTGCCGGATGGTTGCCGCGGGCCCCAGGCCCAGTCTGCAAAAATGTTTTCGTCGACGTCTGTGTCGTGGCTGTTGCGTAGGAGGTCCTCGCCGAAATCGACGGACGACTGGTGGCGGAGGTGGCCGACGGGCAGGGACCTCGACTGGCATCGCTGGCCGCGCCGTGATGTATCATGGCCTGCTTGTTTGTCGTGGCGACTATGCGTCTCCTGCTCGGCGTTGTGCTGGCTTTGCAACGGAGAGGAGCAGGGACTGCTCTGTGGCTGTGGACGGTATGCTTCTCTGGGAGCCCACGGTTGGCCCTGCGGAAGGCTCGGCAGGGACGAAAACTCGGGCATCATGTTGGCGTGCAGGGCCATCTGGGCTACGAGGCCAAACTGGCTGTACGTGTTTTGCGTTGCGCGAGCGTCGAGATGACTTGACGGGACTTCTGGCCACAGCCCTGGCAGGTCGTGGAAGACTGAATGATGGCATGAAGCGTGTTAATGAAGCGTTTTTTCAAGACAAAATAAGCCGAGTTTCAATACGTACGGTCAAAGTCGGGATAGTAATGCTGCCGAGTTGCGTCGACAGTCATGGCTTGGGTTGCGAGCATGGCCGTTGATGTCGCAGTTGTACCAGATGGTAGAGATGCACAAATGATGAGTGAAAAACCCCGTCTACGTTTTGCGCCCCCTTTGTCGGCGACGATTGCTCGACCGTGGTTTTAATAGACGCGAGGACGGGGGCACCGCCGATCAGACGGGGCTTGGACTTCCCCAGGTTGGGAAAGGGTTCCGGTCGTTTCCATGTCCATGTCCACGTCCACGTCCATGTCCATGTCGCGCAGCTCGAGCCGCATCGCACTAGTGTCTTCAAGGTTGCCAACCAGACATGGACTAGTATTGACTTGACTTCGATGCCAAGCCAGTCTCTTGGACCCCAAAATAGGCTGCAAGAGGGAGTGCTAGCGAACCACCATGACGTCGATGCTCGAAAACGGTCCAGCCATACCCCTCACCCGTCGTCACATTGCGCTTCCCCAGCTATTCTATTCACGGACAAGAATTGATGCCTTTTGTCCGTCAAAAGTGCGGTCTGTAACACGGGCATCCTCTTCCCGGTGTCGTCCGTTGCCATGTCACACGTTGAGCGGACCACCCGCCTACCGGAACCAAGATACTTGACATGTTGCTTTTCGAACAATATTATTACCATCTATTCATTTCACTACTTTAAAATCATGTCATTTCAGCACACTTTCCATTCCTCATGCCATGTCCTCCGTAGGTTTTGTATCCGTGAGTGGCCGTCAAGTTTTTTTTTTTTTCTCATTAAAAAAACAAAAGCTTCAGGCATGAGTGCCGAAATAAAATTCAAGCCAAGACTCACAGCCTCGCTGCGCAGCGTGTTGCCATGCAGGCATCCCTCTCCGCCTGCAACCCCGAGCCTCGTCTCTATTAGATCCGACTGGTTGACCAGTGAGGTGCAACTCGACAGGGCTCACGCGTTTCCGGGGAGCGGTTGTGACGGAGCCATGCATTAGCTCAGTTCGGCGGCAACCAAGTCGTGATTGGACCTGATGCCCAAACGACCAGGGGTGGTGACGCCGGCGAGCCTGTGAGTCCGAGGTTGACAAGGACTTGCAATATTTCACGTGCCTTGTGCCAGTGCGGACAGGAAGCCCCGGCCTTTCCAGACTTGACACCGTAATATATTTCAACGGGCCTTGTGCTTGAAACGTCAAGTTTTGGAAGTATTCCTGGTGCTGACTGGCCCATTCTGTCGTTTGTGACTCCTTGACCAGCCCTGACAAGCAGCACACGGCGTCAGGCAAGGAAAATAAGCCGGATCACTTGTTAGTTGGTTGGACCAGACAAGATGGCGTCCAGAGAAAAGTTCCTGGCCCCATGCCAATTTCTCCTTGCAAGTCTTTGCTCCGGATAGTCGGTTCTCTACGTCCATGTCCCCATATTTTGACTCTTTGTTGCCCAATTTGTCAATGCGTATCCTGTGCTGCGTTTTCTTTTCCCCGCATGACCAGCTGGACTTGACCCTTTTAGGTTTCGGCTCTTACCCCAGATTACCCCAAATCACATGTCACTCGGTATTTCCCATCGCGACCCCAACCCACTTTCCAATGTACATGTATACATGAATATGTATCGATTGAATACCAAATTCAAGTCAGCGTCCCGGCGCCAGCACTGCTGCCAGACCATGTGGCGTATCTTGGCAACAGAATTTGACCATGATGGCATCTCTACAATGCTTTGTTTTCTCGGTATAAAGTGCTCTTTGTACTATACATTGATGCATGGTCCGTTCGAAACCAAGACTTAGGTAGGTACAAGTACTTACTTCGCCTTGTACCGATAGAGCTATTATTGCAGGCGGCAAGGCCACGTGTGTTTCCGAGGTGAACCAAGTATATAAATTGCTAGTAATTGCTCAATGTGACAAGGGTAGGTAACTAGGCTTCACCGAGACGATGCCAAAGGCCTATCCGAGGTTTAAACTGCTGCTATTCACCCCTCGTTTGCTGATTGTCGAAATGCTGATTAAATGGAAAGAAGCCTGATTTATTTCTCTTGCTTATTTATCTGTTTATTAAAATACTCTAGCTGGCTTGTAAAGCCCTTCACTTGCTTATTACACTCAACTAAAACTAACTTGGCCATGCACAGTTCATACGTACACAACCACAAGCCATCGCACTACCGGTACACATTCGTATACAACTCTTCTCGACTACAATGTAACAAATGACCATGTGTCAGGAACGAAAGGGTACACTTGGGAGCCAGATATCCGGGGGTATTCACCACGGGCCCCTATTACTGCAACATGTTACGCCATGACTCCATGGTTAACACCGATAACCGCCGTACGAACATGAGAATAGTATTATTGACACACGACCTGCAAGGGACTTCATGTGTTGTGTCTGGTGTGCTTGTATTACTGCTCATGAAGTTACTACTAGCTAAAAGGCTCTACGAAACGGTCAAATCCAGCTGCCAGCCGGGGCAGCTTCCACGTCCAGGCCAAAGACCCAATTCCGAGATGCGACATGCAAAGTTTGCCAGAAACTCTCTCACACTACCCTGCCAAGTATGCTGCTCACTGCATTTGATCACATTTGCCAAAAGTTGGTGCTCTAGTGGTTGCAGCCTTGACACGGCTCCTGGCGTTTTCGTATAGTGACTTGGTCAGTTCGATGAATCCCAAGTCACCCTTGACCTCATCGGGCCCAAAGACATTGCTCATGGCTTGGATTTCATAAACTGTCTACGATTATAAAGTCCACAGGAGAGTTGCCTAAAGAAGGCCTTGCGGTCAGTATTTCATTTCTTTGCATATTCGACTTTTAAATTACAAGAGTACGACTGCCATCTGCGAATCGTCGAATCTAGGAAATTGTGCACTCTTGTGCCAGTTGGACAGCAAGTCGCGTCTCGCTGGCTCGCCACGCGTTCCGTCAACCGAGCCTTTGGGATTTTTCAGGACCCGTTCCGTCCACAAGCTTGTTGCTTCTCACCATTCATCATGCAGAGATGATAACCCATTCTCTGTAAGCATATGCAAAGGCAGCACGCAGGAGCGACGGGAGGGGTTTACGACTCCTTGACTGGTATACCTCTCGGTCATAAATGTCGTGTACTTTCCCAAGGACACCTGCTCTTCCGGCAGTTGCAAGAGTCCACTTTATTATTTTGCTACGAATACCGTCGACTCATCACGGACCTAACGACTCCGTCACCACTCGTGGCCGAGCTTTCCGAGCCGGCCGTTGTGAACAACCAAGGCGGACCATGGTTCTGGGACATTCATGTTTCAAGGTGTGCAGAAGAGCATCGGCCCTCGGGCATTGCGGTAATTTGCTGGCCTAAAATGAATGCATCCAATCCTGCCTACATGTCGACGTAGACTCGCGTCGACTTTCTACCGTGCGCTCGTAGCGCCGGACAAAAGAGTGGTCGGGATGCAGCGAGCCAGATGTGCTGTTGGACTGGTGGCGCTCTTGGGCAAATTTACACAGAACGCGGTTGTCTTGGGCCGTTGCGTCGCGAGCGTCACGCCTACTTGGTCTTGTTTCCTTGTCAAAATGTAAAGGGGGCCGGCCAGAGCGTTGGACGAGGACCGGTATGGGGATCCGAGCTACTGTCTTGGGCCGTCAATTGAGGCAGTGACCTGGGTCAATTCATCTTGTATCGTAGCCGATTTGGTTTCGTATTTCTTGGTGGAATTTCTCCATTGTTTGTTTGTTTGTTTGTTTGTTGTTGTTGCTTGGCAAGCGGATGCAGTGTTTACACATGCATGTAAGCTGCGAGGCCTCGGAAGCAAGCGGCTCATAACCACAGCCAACACCCAAGGCATCAGTTCTCTTGACAAGGATGCAAAAGATGAAGGAACTTGAGAGATGAAAATTTAATGTCAAATAAAAGTAGCGAAACGACATTTAGCAAACTAAAAGTCCTTTAACCGTGGAGCCCCTGATGCAGAGCCAAGGCTGGCGAAATCAAGCTCTATTCAGTAGCCCGTTTTTCTCTGCTATTACCAAGGCCGGAAGAAGAAGGTGAGCAGGACTTTTACCCGCATGAGGCTGATGCGTTGGTCACCCTCAAATCCTTGAGACTGGGTTACACTGCATTCCATCCCTCGATGTATTTGGAAACATGCAGCAGACGCGCTTGATCGAAAAACGTGTAACATGAGTTTCGACAGCACCACAACGACGTCTGGTGTGTCTTCACCCCACCTTTGGTCGTCCCTTTCTAGTTTGCTATTTATTCGGAATAACAAAACGGCGACACCTCGTACGCCTTGTACTGCAGTGTTCAAGGCCCTTGGTTTTCCAAGATTCTTCAGGGTGGCTGGAAAGATAAAGGTTGACGCCCGAGGGCACAGACGCCCAAGGCCTCTGACATCTTGGAGCCCTTGTGCAACGATGATCGGGCTCGAGAGTCGGTCCGTGCCGTGACGTTGTGATACCCGTGTGACAGGGAATACGTATAGCCGAGACACGAATTCTCCGTGGAACCGTTGGATTGCGACGACATGCAGGTTTGTGTCATACTGGTACCACGCAGCGCGTAGCCAACGATTTATCCACGTTCGGGCTTGCTTGGATATGGGAGTGAAGAAGGAGGTCGGGCCATGCTGTCGCTGGATGTTTGGCTCCATGGCTCACCAGTTCAGCCTGATGTTTTCAATGTTGATATACTAAATGTATGATTCTCGTAAAGTATATTCTGTCCCGTCTCTTATACATAGTTTTCTTTATTACCCCTAGCATAGTAGCCAATCAAGTACCAGCATATATACATGTGACATGTGAACGAGCACGCAAGTCCATCAGATGAGTCATCAAAGATTCAAACTAGCCAATGTCCAAATGAGAAGCTAGCCAGCTAAAATGATGGAATCCACGTCTTTTCCATTGAATGCGGCCTTTTCTATGCCTTTCATTTCCAACCGCAAGGGGGCTCAATTCCATCGACAAATACCTTTCATCTAAAGACGTATTCCACCGATCCACAACTGCCAATCGCGATACTATGCTCTTCCAAATACGTAGTGTACATGTCACGTCACATACGAGCACGTCCTTTTCCATAATTCCATTCAAAGACTTCTGTATAGTGAACTCCTCATGTCATTTACCCAGTCATCCCATCATTCATTCCAGCACATAAAGAAACACAAGTGGTATAGTAAAAGCCATGAAACCCACAGCATGCCCGTCCATTCACGAAAAACACCAAGTCGCAGCGCATCCCATCAACAGCCCGGCCTCGGGGCCAAGCCCTCTGCCGAAGTCACGCGATCCTTGTACGTCTTTGTCGCAAAATCCATGAAATAATCGACGTCGCCACACGTGCTCGCGACGCCAAACGACACCCGTATCGCGCCACCGGTAGGCAGGTGCGCCATGCGGAGGAAGTCGTCAAACGTGCCGCCGCCCTTTTGGCTCACCAGGGGCCGCAGCGTGCTCGCGGCAATGCCAAAGACGGCCTCGCCCGCGCCCGGGTTGCAGAAGCACCCGGTGCGCAGGGAGATGTGCGCGCGCCCCGACTCCTGCGCGACCAGGCGCTCGTCGACAAGTCGGCCCCGTGCGTCGAGCAGGTTGAAGGCGACGGTGCCGCCGCGCGACTCGGTGCCGGCCGGCCCGTACAGCACGGCCATGGGGCTGCCGTCGCCGTGGCGCAGCCCGAGCAGGCGGTCGATGAAGAGGCCCGTCAGGCAGCGCACGCGGGTGGCAATGGTGTCCATGCCAATGGCCGACACCCAGTCCAGGCCGGCGTGGACGTCCGGGATGGACAGGTAGTTGAGGGTGCCGTCCTCGAAGGCGGCCTCGGCCGGGGCCAGCGCGTGCCAGGGGACGGCGACGGTGGCGGCCTGGACGGTGCCGCCGGCAAAGTAGGGCCGGGCGAGGCGGGCCAGCGCGTCGCGGCGGGCGACGAGACAGCCGACGCCGGTCGGGAACCCGAAGACCTTGTACCAGCTGACGATGACGAAGCTGGGGTTGACGGTGGACAGGTCGAGCTGGCTCGTGGGCAGGTAGGCGGCGGCGTCGAGGAGGACGTCGTAGCCGGCGTCCTGGGCCAGCTTGATCCAGCGCAGCGGATGGCGCACGCCGCTGAAGTTGCTCTGGGCCGGGTAGGCAAAGAGGCCCCGGGGACGCGGACGCTTCGAGGACCGGCTCAGCGGCCAGGGGCGGCGGCGGCCGAGGGCCTCGACGACGGCCGGGGTGGCGAGGGGGCCTCGGTGTCGATGCGCAGGTCCTTGGGCCGCAGGGGCACGTAGCGCGTCTTGGAGCCGGCGCGGCGGGCATACTCGCGCAGGCCGTTGAGCGAGTTGTGGTTGTCGGCGGTGAGGACGAGGCGCGCGCCCCTGGCAAAGGGGTACGCCTCGCCGACGAGCTTGGCGGCGCCGGTGGCATTGGGGGTGAAGATGACGTGGTAGTCCTCCGGGGAGGCGTTGAGGTGCAGCAGGACGCGGCGCCGCGCCCGGTCGACGAGGTCCGTCGCCGCGCGGCTCGTCGGGTTCTCCGAGTGCGGATTCCCAAACGTGGCGCCGTCGAGGCGGTTCCTGTGCGCCTGGAGCTGTGAACGGGCGGCGAGCCCGGCGCCCGTGTAGTCGAGGTAGACGTGGTCCTGCTCGTCGAGATAGCCGTACTCGGTGGCCCGGAGCGTGTCGAGCTTGCCGGTACGGCTGTACTCGGGGTACTCGTCCGTGATGCTCGGCATGGTGGCGAGAGGCTGACGGCCCAGCGACAGAGTTGGGCCGGAGCACACGTATATATAAAAGCGGCCATCGTCATCATCACCAATACGACGTCAGCAGAGAGAACCCCTCACCAATGGGCCAAAGGCATAAGGGAAAAAAAAAAAGGCTTACATGTACCAGCCGCCGGCCACGTCCGGGCTGACCGGTGACCCTGTGTGTACCCCATCTGTCGGTCCAGTCTGTACGATGTACTATGCAGCAAACTTGACTATTCATGTCATGTCACTCATGCACTCGCCCTGGCGATGCGGGGCGCTCTGCATCATCTTGTGTACATGTATGTATTCGATATAAGCACACGCAGCCAATGGGGCCGGCAACACGACGTCGGACGCATTCAGCTTTGCCCGTCCCGCGTCCACGTCTCCATGCTTCCAACAACTCGTGCGGCTGTGCGCGACAGGTGAAATTCTGCAAGAAACCATGGCATCGCGGGCGTGCTGCCGCCCCGCGGTCCCGGCGTCGATTATATCGGATTCACGTCACAATGGCGCGAGCAGGCCGAGCGCCACGGCCAGAGATTGCGCAAGTCACTGGCCAGACGCCGTCAGATGACCGTCCGTCATGTCTCAGGGTGAGTGACGGCCCATTGTCCGTATTGATGGGCGTTGTGACGCCTGCGCGCGCTTCCCTGTTCCATGTTCCCCAGCCCAGCCGCAACTTGCTGTGAGATGCTGCACGCGCTGTCTTTGTTTGTTTCCAAGACAGCGCCTGGTCGCACACACCAGTATGCTGGCGTGCCACCGAGTCCCCATGTTGGTGTAGCCAGCAGCAAATCCATAGCGCGGCCTTGGCAAGAGAAAAAAAAGCGACTCGCGCAGCCGGCGGGGATGCCTGCATGAAGCTCGACATCGTGATGCTCGCTCGCTCTGGCGCACGCCACGTCACCGTCCGAGACGCCAGAGAATCCCGTTCAGTCCTAGGCCGAGCCCACTGCGTGCTGCGGGCTGAGTTGTCAACCTCTGGTCCGAATCCCATCAACAATCTCCACTCGCGTGCAGCTGTGCATCTGCCGTTTATCAGCAGATATCACTGCCATGCCTGGACTCTGGAGGAGCAGGACCCGAGCGAGTCGTGTCTGTGACGGGACCGTTGGGTTTGGCGATGCGCTTGCCGGGTGACTGTGATGGATGGTGCATCTCCTGTCGAAAAAGAGGCGCGCTCTGCTGCCAAGCGTCGACACGGCGTGGCAGCGTGTGTGTAACTCAGACCGAATATCACCGACGGCTAGGTTTGCCCCAGGGGCCGAGGCGACACGTCTCATTTCTCCTCTGTCGTGGCTACGGGGGCTGACCTGTCGGCTCGTACATGACGAATCGAGCGCACGAGTTGTCGCATTTCGCAGAGCACCGTCATTTGTGGACTTGTTTTGCGTGAGATATCCGAGGCCAACATGACAACCTGGTGGCTGAATGCCGGCCCCCAACATGTCCCCATGCAGCAAGGAGTAGTCTTTATGAAAGGAAACGAGGAGCCACGGAGTACGGGATAGAACGCGTGCGATGGGTACTTAATCCTACGAGCATGTAGGGCCATTCGAGCCGACCATATTCAACACCAAAGCTGTGTTTTGCCAAGGCCGGCGTCGCAGTCAGAAGACGGCAGATTTCGACACAGATACCAAGGCAGGACAATGCCATAATTATCATCTGTTAAAAGGATCAAAGGGGGAGAGAAAAGAACATCTCTCGAGCTGCAAAACCACTCGTAGATCAAAAGTGTCCTCAAAACAGCCATGGTGCTCTTTGACCATTTTCTCGCCAGGATAGAGGCAGCAAACCGGCCATTTCTTCTCCTGCTGTAAGCCCATTTCTCACTTTCCATGACAGAAATTGGCAGACTGTCAATACCGCTGCAATTATTCATACAGATTCATGACATGGCAGCTTCCCAGTAATGCCGCCTTGATCAGCAATCTTTGCCAATATAATCAAGCAAATCTCTTGCCAACTACACAAGACACTAGCAATGCCTCCCAATACAAATACTGCCATCTAATCAATCAAACGAGTCACAGTCACCTAAAATCTCATCCCAACACTCCATCAGCAAATCGCCCCGTCTGCAAGTTTCCATCGAGCTCCCCCTTGGACGGTTCACACCACAAGCACTTCACCCCGTAGCTCAGCAAGTGTCGTCAACATATTCCCAATGCGGCAACTCGCCATCCGAACCAGTCATGTCTATTGGTTCCAGCGTCGGGCGGACAAACCCGCCAGGTAGGGGGTGACCGACATCCATCAGGGTTGCATCAATCTAGTGGCGCTGCCCGCGAGCAGCAACTACAACACTTGCCCCGGACACGAGCACATGATCCGATTCGTGTCTGGCAGCACCGTGGCCTACTTAGGGAACGGACGTCCGGTCCTGGCGGGAGGTGTGGCACACTGCACGCCTGGTTCCCCCTCGCCCGCGGAAAGATCGTGGCCAATCCCGTGTACTTGTCGCAGCTTGTCCGGTACACCCGTGACGAAGGCGGGTTGCTCATTGGCCATGACGTGCATTTGGATATAGCGCGGAAATGGCAACCGTCGCGGGTGTCTGAAGGGCCGGATTGCCTCCCCCGTGACACGACGCGCTCTATATATAGTCCGAGTTGGGGCACGTTGTAAAGCGAATAGTTGGCTTGTCTTGTGAGAAACCCCGGGTGACCGAGGTACTCGTCTCATATGATATTAGTAAGTAGAGACGCATAAAAGCTATTTCGCTGCAGTTTCTGCATCCGCTCGCTAGCTTGCAGAGCCGCCATGTAAACTTTCCCGTTTGTCATCACACTGGATCAGTTCTTCACAACAGCACACGCACAACTGACAGAAGAGATGATTTGTTCCTGTTTGTCCGTCGACTCGGTCGCACAGTCCATGGGTGTACTTGTCCCGACTCCTGACCTTGGGATCAGATGATCAAAATATCACTTGTAACATGACGAAATCACGATGCGTAGACGGTCTGCTTTTCTAGTCTCTTACTGTCCCTGGCCTGGTACAGCCCAATACTGTTTTAGATTTTACGCTTGCACGATACTTGTATCATGCTTGTAATTTCATTTGACTGCAGAGCGAAACAATAATCCCCGTTAGTAACATGACGAAATAGCTAGCCCTAATTAAACTGAATAGTAGACCGTCTCACTTGCGCGGCTCAACGGCGATACAAGCGCTACTTGTAAAAGTCTGGTCCTCCCTCGCCTCCATCCACAGTGGTAGTTGCAAAGATTCCGACTTTTTTTTTCAAAGGATCCCGTCGTCGAGGCCAATCTTCAGCCGCACCCGGATTCACCCGTCCCCATAGTCTGGACTATGCAGCCCCATAATGAAATCGTTTCGCGAATCTCCAGCCGGAGCCGCGTCCGGGCGAGCGGAAGTCCATACCGAGGCTCCGAGGAAGACTACGTCTACAAAATCCGTGCAAACGTTTCGCAGCAAGTGACGAGTGAGTGATGAGGTTGTCAGCTTGTCAACAAGGACCTGCTCTTTCCATCGTAGTGCAACAACCCGCGCCGCGGAGATGATTGTCTTGAATAGCCAACTACCAACAATGGTGTGTCATGGACCACAGTCTTACGCAATCGCCGAAAACAAGTGGCGTGCTGGAATGCAGATAAGGGGCAACAGGGACTCGGGTTATGTGTTCACGACGCCCGTTTCCTCGGGAGTTATCCGAGCCCGGAGATTCGAGGATTTGTGGCAAACACGGAGTCAGGACGGCTGGCAAGCCTCAATGTAACCGTCATGACGCAAGGCCGCACCACCCCTGAGGAGTGTTGCTCTCCGTTTGTCTTTTCCAACGGAGGAACTGGGACGTCTCGTATTTCTTTGTTTACTCGATGCGTATAGCCAGTCTGAGACAGTTGAGCCCGGTTGTAGGAATCATGACAACTTTTGAACCAAAAAACTAGTATTGAATAGGTCTAAAATAGCAAAGAGTCTCAAGCATACTTGGAATATTTACGTGTTTCACATATATCATAATAAGAACAAGACAAACTAGTTAAAAAAAACATTATACACCATTTGCAAACGAAAGTCCACCGGCCTCGACATCAACAGACATGGAGTGCTGCAGCCCGCACACCTCAAACAAGCGGACGGGCGTCAAGTCCTTGGGCGTGCCCACAATGCCCTTGGTCTTGAGCAGGGTGAGCGTCTCCTTGATGGCCCTGTACGCGGGCGCGATGCAGGCAAAGGAGAAGATCATGATGCGGAAGCCCATCTGGCGCGCCTCGTCGACGGTAATGGTCGGGCTGGCGCCGTTCTCGACGCTGTTGAGGAGCAGCGGCCAGGGGGCCAGGTCCTTGACGGCCTGGGCCGCCTGCTCCTTGGACTTGAAGCCCTCGAGGAGGCCGACGTCGGCGCCGAGGTCCCGCGCCGTACGGAGACGCTCGATGCACTCGTCGTAGCCGAGCGACTGCAGGGCGTCGGTTCGCGCAATCAGCACAAAGTCGGAGCGCATGCGGACGCGCGCTGCGTGGGCGGCGCGGATGCGGGCGTAGTACTCCTCGCGAGGGACGACCTTTTTGCCAGCCAGATGGCCGCACCGCTTCGTAAGGACCTGGTCCTCGAGATGCGCGCCGGCAACGCCAGCCCGAATATATTGCTCCACCGTGCGAGCGGCCATGATGGGACCTGGGCGGCACGCAGTCAGTACTTGGGATATGCTAGAAGCAGTCGAGGCCTGTAGACGCTTACCTCCGTAGCCAGTGTCCATGTCGGCAATCAGTGGCGGGCCAAAGGGGTCCAGGTTGGCAATCATGTCTGCATTCTCGCGCATCTCGTGCAGCTGGGCAATGGCCAGATCGGGCTGGCCGAGCCTAGAGGCCGTGGTGCCTGCTCCCGTCTACAAGTTCCATGATGCGTTAGTGAATATCCGTTGGTTTGTGACGGTGAAACCGTGTCGACGTACCATGTACATGGCGTTGAAGCCGAGCTCAATGGCTGTGCGTGCGGACAAGCCATCATAGACACCAGGGCAAACAACGAGCTCGTTGGTCTCAAAGAGCATCTTGCGCAGCTTGGTGGCTCCGGAAACAGGCTCCTTGACCTCTGCGCTGGCGTGGTTGAGAGCCAGGTAACCAGGGAGATTGCCATGCCCAGATACCTGTTCATGACTGCTCGAGACGTCGCCCATGTCTCGAGCAAGAGGGTCGTCCAGAGTCATGGACTTTTCAAGTGCGCTGGGCAACATTTTGATTTTGATTTTCTGAAGAAAAAAAAGAAGGTGTAAAACTTCAAGTACGAAAGGGAGAGCTGGGGAGAGAAGGGCCAGTAAAAGGTTTTGTAGTGCTCTGAATATAGAACAAAGTTCAACTTCAACAATGTCTTTTTCACGGCGACATCAGCGGGGTTTTATAGAAAAACCGGCCCCGAGCAACGTCGCAGAAACTCGCGTCTTACAAAGGCCCTTCATCATCATAAGCCCGGCTTTCCCCTTGACAATGTCTCCTTGCCACCCAGCCAAACACGGGACAACTTGGTCGCACAACCACGATACATGATTGTACAGAGTATGTCGTACAAAATTTAGAGTTGGCCACTGGTCGTACGTTGTTCACGGCTCTGCAGGGCATTCACGGCGTCGCCCCCAACAAAGCTTGGCGACGACGGCCGGTTCCCCCCCCCCCCCCCCCCCTCACCCTGGCTGTAGGTAGGATGGAGGGGGGACACCTGTTCGGTGGCTGAGCTAGCAAGTAAGCTTATCAGACGGAGGGAGGAGGAGTTGCTGAACTTGCACAGTCAGACCTTGACGATGTGACGGGACGCCGATGAGCCAAGACGTGTCATGACCTCTTTGCTCCGAGGGTTGCGCAGGGTTGCCAAGGGATGGCCATCGTCGGTCGTCGACACGCTTTACCCAATACCGCAACCACACACACTGCCAAGACGCCGGGGATAAGTCCAAAAGCCTTAGCAACGCGGCAATCTACTCGGGATTACAGGCGGAATGGCTCATGCGAGATGGTGAGATCGCCAGGCCCCAAGGCCGGGCTTCGAGGCTAGCCGTAGGTGCTGATAGCTGTACTGCCCGGTAGTACGACTATCGCCAACACTAACCCAGGACTCACTCCCACACGGGTCGCGGCGGCTCCTCCTCCGTGCTTTGCCAGCGGTGCTCGCGAATAATCGTCGGGAATACCCACATGCCATCATCCGTCTCCACATGACGAAAGCTGGTGATGCCAACGAACCCCGATCACCCTCATCACCCCGGCCTAACACGGGATGAGGATGGAGCCGTATTACCATACTAAAACTCCCTTCTCTGCTCTTGCCATCTCGCGATCGGTTTCATCACCACGGGTGGCCGGCAAGGTGCGGAGGGAGGAGGGAGGAGGGAGGAGAGGCCCAGGCCACTCCGCCACAGCGGCAGTCGATGCTGGTCCAATAATGACGGCCTCTCCAGGCGCCATGCTGGCGACCGTGACCAATGGATGTTGGGTCAAGGTTGGTTGTCATGTCGCGTGGGACATGAGCGGCCCGCAGCCAGAGTTGTCAAATGTACTCCATAAGGTAGGTATGTGAGAATGCTAATTCTATAACGGCGTCAGTGGTCTTGCAGGCTGAGAAAACCGTTTCCAATGCAACGCAGTGTTGCATCACCGTGTTAAGCTTCGGGGGAAAAGGGTTGCTTTGGCTCAGTGATATACCCTTGGGCTTACGTGGCATAAGTTCCTTGGCGGGCAAAGAAACAGAATCTCATGCATGAGCTACTCAATAGAACGGAAACCACGACACGACCGTGTTTAGTTCAGCAGCAACTTGTCTCCGTGATGCCGGTTTCATCGTGGTAAAAAAAAAAAAAAAAAAGGCACCATCGCATCACACCTTTTGCCTGCCCAGTGACTCGGCATGGCCAAGAGGAACCGCCCCATAAAGCGGGTCGATATTAGATTTGCTTGCGGCCAAATACGTCCACGGATTGGCTGCAGGCTCGGGTTACTCCGTTCATTCCCGCTCCGTTGAAATGGGCAAAAGGACGGTAGGGAAAGGAGGGCGCAAAAAAAAAAAACATAACTGGCACATCTACTCCGTCGGCCGCTGTCAGAAACGCTGACTCTCATCACTGTTCTCCTGTCCATTGCTCTCCCACTGTACGTGCATTCGCGGGAGCCTCGGTAGATTTCAACATGGAGAACCCAGGCAGGTCGGATTCCGACACGGACCGACAGAGCAAGGAAGAGAAGCCAGTTGTCAGGAAATTATCGCAAAATGTTGACCTCAAACTGGCCTACCTGCCCATGCTAGCGTGTTGCTTCGTGTCAGGCCTGACTGACGGCACCATATACAACGGTTAGTCGGCGCGGTATCCGCTCTTTTGTTGCCAGGTACAGTCAGCTAACATGGGTGTTGCGGTTTCTTTGGTGTTCTCCCAACAGCCTACGGAACCTTTGTGTCAATGCAAACAGGTACATTGTTCTTCACCCCGCGCCAGGAGGTTTCTCAGTCTTCACTGAGATGATTGATGACGGTACGGCTCACACCATGTCTTGCAGGAAACACGATCTTCGTTGCCCTCGGCACATCTGGCTACAACAACAAGCCGTATGGATGGGCCAGGTCGCTTTGTTCGATTGCCTTTTTCATTGTAGGCTCGTTTTCATTCTCTCGCTTTGCGCTGTACCTGGGCGGAAGACGGCGGGGGATCATGATGCTCTCGTTTCTCATCCAAGCCATTCTGGTCATAGCCGCCGCCTCCATTGTGCAGGGCGGCGTCGTGGACGGCTCCTACCCGTCCAAGCGGCTTCCCACCGACGTTGATTTCAAGGAGCTCCTCATCATCGCCTTGCTGAGTTTCCAGGCAGCCGGTCAAATTGTCAGCAGTCGTACGCTCAAGGTGGGAGAGGTTCCCACCGTCGTCGTCACCAGCATGCTGTGCGACCTCATGTCTGATCCGGCATTGTTTGCGCTGGCCAAGAACGACAAACGCAACCGCCGATTCATCGCCTTTGTCCTGACACTGGTAGGAGCCATCTGTGGCGGCTGGATCTCCAAGGCGGCCGGCGCCGTTGATCCATCGCTGTGGACAGTGGCGGGAATAAAGCTCGTCATTGCGTTTAGCTGGCTGTTCTGGAAGGCTGAGCCCGACTCCGTGGTTTGAAACATGATGGTATGGATGGTGAGGCATTCTCGTTGGAATGAAAAAGAAGATGAATGAGCGGACACGCGGATTATAGACTTGCATTGAAGCATTATTAGAGCATTGCATAAAAGGGGCCAAGAGGTTGCTGTCTCGATGGTGCACCACGCACGGGTCGCGAGAGCATTTGTACTTTGTTGCGCATGTAGATGAAATTGATTGGCCTGCATCATGAGATTATCAACTCTCGTACTGCTGCCAGGCAGCTTGGTATGGTCAGCTGACTCGGAGGCATCATGACCAGTCACTTGGGCATGCCGAACTCGCCTGTTCTTCCGCAGAGTATGGTGCACCAGGCCGGTAAGCTGGAGTCAAACAGAGTTTCGAGTCTGCGGCCGAGCTTGGCGATCCAGACGCGTCAGTGTCCCGTGCATGGAGTCGAAGCGTTGCAGACGAGACGAGAAACATGGTGTTTTGGTTCGAGGCAAAGGTTTGGGTCTGCACGAGAGAGTCGAGGTGGGACCCTGACGAGCGCCACACACGCCTCCCATTGGCTCGTGGCGCGCAGGGAGCGTTGATTGCGGCTTTCGTATCGGCTGGCTGCGACGGCGCCAGATGGCTCTCCTGCCACGCAGTGCCCAGGCCGTCTGGCCGTCAATATCATAGATCCGACTCGGGTCCTCCGTATTCGCGGCGTTGGAGCGGGTGTAGTGTCAATTGAGTCAAGTCTCGTGGCATCCACATGTTCCCCATTAAAATAACTCTATCGTGGAAAGGTAGTACTTTTGGTGGCCCTCGTCCCACGACACGCCTTGATCCGTTGTGGTCTGGTGTTGGCCGGTGACACCTTATTTCGTCCCATGTGGGAACGTTGCATGACGCTCACAAATTGACCGAGCACCATTGACAGCTGCCAGACAGGGTCTAGGGTAGCTGTCAAACGACGAGCGATCAGCGGGCCGCATCCCCGTGGTGCACAGATCGCCCACGATGTTTTATTAGTACGGAGTACTCAAGTGCTAATTTCATGTCAATTTTGATTGCTTGGTCCGGGGGCCCAGAAGACACTGCTAGAATCTGGGGTCCGGGGACTCTTGGCACTCGGCTTTGTACATACATATATGTACTCTGTAGATTGTCAGCGTGGAGCCGGACCATGTGGGACGGATTCTCACAGAAACCAGACCTCGACATGTACGGAGTATGGCTTCCATGTTTCCTGTTGACCTTGGCAGAGCTCCGCCCCGCGGCTCAACTCGCTGCTTAAATTGACGCTTCAATGTTAAACGCGCCATTCATGGGATTGACCACACCAGACTCGGTGCGGTGCCGCCACCTGCCCGCCAGACCCCGCCAGTCTCCATGCTGCATGCTGGGAGAGCACCACATGCAGGGAGCCCCAGACCTTTCGCCACAGTCCAGACAATCAAGAGGGTCTAGAACCTGGTCCATCATCCATCAACCATCAAGCCAACAAGCCGACAGCCGTTGATGATCCGCTGCAACTGCACCGAGCACAGAATTCCCCGTGACTCGCAGCCAAGCCACCAGCCGGCCTACCGACCAGACATCTCGCTCTCCATGCTGGGACATATCTTCGAATCCTGTGATGCGATTCAGGCATGCGGCATCATGCCAGGGGCAGAATTGAAATTTTCGACTTCAACAACTCCCCATGCCTTGATCGTCCGTCTTCATCCCGCAGCCGCCCTCTCTTCGATCTCACCCGCCTGTCCTCGATAGCCTCGAATCGACGCCCTCACCGCCACGTCGCCTCTTCGCTCGTCCTGACCGTCCAATCCATCGAGCTGTTGCCGAAGAACAGAGCTGCCTTTTCCTAGCTCGATGCATCAATTGTCCTGGGCGCTCGCACCTCTGCATGGCGCCCTGCAGCAGCTCCCGTCAGACACAATCGCACTCGTTGAAGCCGCCGAATAATGCTTCGTAGCCGCTCATAGATAAGCCGTTACCGGCAAGCAAACCCTGACCCGTGTTACGAAGCCGTCAAGATGCGACTCTCGATCCGAGAACAGCTGGCAACGCTCGTCATACTCACTGTCCTCCTCGCCCTCGCCATTGTGTCTGTTCCCACATGGTTCTTTGTCCATACCTTCGTCACTGGGGTTGCGTCGAGCGGCCTTTCCTTGACCGCCTCTCTCAAGGCGGCAAGGATTGATTCCGGGCTCGACTTGTTGCAGACAATCAGTCAGACGGTGGCAACTCGTGTCTTGCTCCAGCAGGCATTCGTCAACTTTTACAATGAAAACGACACGGATCCATTTGACACCGCCCGTACCGACTTGGCTAGTGCCATGAGCACCAACCGCTTCACCGGCCTCCTCCAGGCTAGATTATATTCTAGAAACGACACGGGGGCCAATCCCGCCGGTCTTCTCAACGTCACTGGCAGCGGCGTCGGTACCGAGACCAACAATATACAGTTGCCGTATTTGACCCCCAATGGATCCAGAGTGAACCTCAGCGACACAGCCTATGGCTACCCGCCGTCCCTGTACCCGAATATTACATATCGGAGACTGGGCTATCCCAATCCATACCAGCCCTCCACCCCAGCCTTTGGTGCCTATGCCTTCCCGGGCGTCGCAATAAGCGACAATGACGGCCTTCTTCTCGGGCCCTTGATGATTAACGAGTCCTTTGCCCTCATGTCCATTACCGTTCCTGTCCGATCGCTCAGCGTGCAAAACTTTATTCTTGGCTACATGACGCTCATTGTTTCTGCTGGATCCCTTTTCGACGTTCAGACGACTCGTGAGGGTCTGGGATCGACAGGCATGGTTCTGCTCGTCGGGCCAACCCATCCATCTAACCATTTCCCGGGCCCCATTTTCCTTTCTAATAGCACCTACTCACCCCCAGTCGATGCCTTGGCACCCTCAACTGTGAAATTCGTCCTTCCTGTTATTCCCATTGCCGGACAAACCGACCGCCATGGCAAGCGAGACTACGCCACCGGCGACTTCTATAGCCCGTTTACGCTTGCACAGTACCCAGCGGTGCTCAACGACTATGCCAAGCATAATTCGCAGCCGAATAACGCCAGAGCACTACTGTCAACAAGGAACGAGCAAGACGTGTCGGTCGCGGTTGGTGTTGCCCGTCCTAGTTCAGCCCTGGTTGACTGGGCCATCGTGGTAGAGCAGGCCGATGGCGAAGCCTATGCGCCAATTAGTACTCTGAGACAGATTCTGCTCGGCTGTGTGTTTGGCACCGCCGCATTGATATTGCTCCTCGTCATCCCATGTGCGCACCTCAGCGTTGGCCCCATCAGACGACTCAAGATGGCGACTGAAAAGTCCATCTCCCCGCCTGGATACGAGGAGGAGTATGAGGAGTATGATGAGCAAAGTCCGAGTTCAGGCGGCACGGGGTCGTCTGGCTCCATCAAGGGCCTCTTTGCCAATTTACGTCGCAAGTTCAGGAAGAGACGACGAGCAATGACACAGGCTGAAATTGACAACCATCGTCGAATATTCAAGATTCCGGGGCGAGTTGAAGATCGAAAACACTTTGTCACCGACGAGCTTACGGAGCTTACGCAAGTGTACAATGAAATGACGGATGAGCTCGTGAAGCAGTACACTTCTCTTGATGAAAAAGTCGCTGAAAGGACTCGCGAACTCGAAATAAGTAAAAGGGCAGCCGAGGCCGCCAACGAGAGCAAAACATTATTCATTGCAAACATTTCACACGAGCTCAAGACGCCGTTGAATGGCATCATGGGCATATGCGCTGTTTGCATGGAAGACGACGATGTTGGGCACATTAAGCAGTCGCTAAAGACTCTTTACAGATCGGGTTTGTTGTCCTGTTGCAGCATGAAATTTCCAGAAACCACCATTACTAACGAGTCAAAGGCGAATTGCTACTTCACCTTCTGGAAGATCTGTTAAGCTTCTCCAAGAACCAAATCAGCCATCAAATTAGACTCGAAGACAGAGAGTTCCGCCTAGGTGATATTCAATCACAAATCATATCCATTTTCGACACCCAAGTCCGCGAGAGCAACATCACGTTTGAAGTAACGTTTCTTGGCTTCGAATGCGACGAAAAGCTCTTGAGATCAGAGCAGGAAGGTACCGCCATGAAACTCCCCGCTCTAGGACCGCCAGGAATGGGCCGGCTCAAAGACGTGTATCTATGGGGCGATCAACATCGAATCCTACAAGTCATTATCAATTTGGTCAGCAATAGTTTGAAATTCACACCAGCTGGAGGCAGGGTCGAAGTCCGCATACGCTGCCTCGGCGACATTGAGCGAAACAGCAACGAAGAAAGGCCACACAGGAACGGCTCCGCCCAAAGTGGACGAAACCGGCACAGGATAAGCTCAGGCTCTGCACAGTCGTCTATTTCCAAGGCTACGACTCACACCTCGGCGCTCCAGGACAGTTCTACCACGGCTGTATCAAGCCACAAGGGTCCCAAGGCAAATGCTCACGTCCATGTGCGGGAACGATCCCCAACGCCGCCTCGGCTCCATACCAAGCTGTACATGTTTGAGTTTGAGGTTCAGGACACTGGAAGTGGAATCCCCGAGGCAATGCAGGAGAAAGTCTTTGAGCCCTTTGTACAGGTGGATTCTAGTTTGAGCAAGAAATTCGGAGGAACCGGTCTCGGACTGAGCATATGCTCGCAGCTTGCCAAGCTGATGAATGGCTCAATTAGCGTCACTAGTACGGAGGGCGTGGGATCAACGTTTTCCTTGCGAATCCCGCTCAAGCATGTCCAAGACCGTGTTCCAAGCACTGCACCCGGCAGCACGCGCTCCAGGCCCCCGAGTGTTGGGTCCATCGTCGGCGATGCCCACCGCAATTCACTCAACGGCGGCATCGTCGACCCCGAACAAGACGCTAAAAAGAAGGACGTTTCTTCTGTTAGGGAGGACTGCCAACCTCGACTGGTTGGTCTCAGCACTCCCTTTTTCGCCCCTACGCCGCCGCGCACCAGTGAGGACCAGCAAAAAGCAGCGATCCAGCAAGTCAGGGCCGACAAAGCGGGCCGGGGCGAACTGCGGGTTCTGGTTGCCGACGACAATTCAACCAACATTGAGGTAGTCAGCAGGATGCTCAAGCTCGAGAAGGTGAACAATGTCACGATAGCAAAGGATGGCCAAGAGGCGTACGAGCTCGTCAAGGCGAACATGGAAGAGGACCAGCCATTCGATCTGATCTTTATGGATATCCAGATGCCCAATCTCGATGGACTGCAATCCACCCGTCTGATTCGCCAGATGGGTTACGTGGCGCCGATTGTCGCACTCACTGCCTTTTCGGAAGAGAGCAACGTCAAGGAATGCATGGAATCGGGCATGGATGAGTTCCTGAGCAAGCCGATTCGCCGACCTGCGCTGAAAAACGTACTCACTAAATTTGCAACCATCCCAGAAGAGATGGAAGTGGCTGCGTAATAAAATTCATTATTAAACCTGTGTGCAGACGTGGCTGGGGAAGAGAAAAGTTCTGCAAAGGGGGGTGATTTTTCTGCATTGAACATTGTTTTTGACTGGGGGAGCGGGATTACGGCATTATATAGCGATACACTTGGATACCATTTTATAATACATTCTGACCAACACTTGCCGAGTTTCAGTTTTCCATGCCCATGGATCAGCCTCGACTGACTGACTGACTAAAAGGACCGAATAATGTAGAGCTGTCGGTTTATACCACGTGCAGCGACAAGTGGTCGTTTCGCGGCTTGACAAAAAATAGCGCAGATGAGATGCCAACACGGCTATACCACAAGGGAAGAGCTCTCAGCTGATAGTCGTTGAGTTTGAGAAGCCGCCCACTCGGCCCCTGGGCCCTGGAGAGATCGGCGCCGGATAGTTTTGATGCTGGGACAACCTTGGCCGTGACGGAGGATTTCATGCCATTATTAATGCCGAGCCTACCTGCTGCTGACTCGTAATTACTTTGGACGCTGGCATAGCGCTATATCCAATGTATGTCAAAACCCTTCCTTTGACAATAAAACTCACGTAAAATACTGCTCTCAAAAATCATATACTATTAATTAAGAAGTGTTTATAGTAAGTTTAGGCGTAAAAATAAGGCTTTTGAGAGACTTTTAATACCCCACTGTCGGTAGTTGTTGGCCAAGGATTTCGAGCACCCACATATCTCATAAAGCACGGAGCGGCTTGTGGAGAGTCGGTTCCATTGAACCTATAAACTTGGAGCTTGGGTCTGCGGAGATCGACACTTTGCGGAGAATAGTCGGGGACTTGTACCCTGCCAGACCCTCCTTTGCGCCACCAGACGGTTTGGACATAACACGTACTGCCTAGGTTCATGACAACAATTACAACGGCGGGGAAAGGCGTAGACAGCAAGGCGTTTTTGGGTGGGCTGATGGTGCGAGCTTTACGAGACCCAACAAAGGCTGGCGCGGCGTGGCACGATTAGCTACAGTGATCGACATTTTTCATCGACCGCGGTTGTCAGCCAAACCAACAGCTCGGGAGGTAGGGAGTCCTTGGCAACCTCAAGCTCGCCTCGGGTCAATAACATTGAATACTGTACTCGACGAGTAAGTAAACATTACAACAGTCTACTCACGCTTGACGAGTGCTAAGTCGCTCTGTTTCATTTTTGGCAGAGTTTTATCGCTTGCCTGCTGTCCCTTAAAAACAGCCAAGGCGGCAGTGAGGTCACGAAATCCACAACGCCCCTGGAGCAGCTGATGGCCTCGAGTGACTTAATAACAGCCCAATTTGTGTGTGTCATGTCTGGTAGCTCTTTGTAATGTAGAAGCCTACCGGTACTTCTATTGTGATATAAATTAGGCGTGGAATAAAGTACCTTTTAGATGCCGTTTTTTTATTGGCTCGGAATCCCTGTCGCGACCTCGCTGCCGCCTTGGCTGTTTTTAGGGGACTTAGTTTTCATCACATCGGACTGACTAAGAGTAGCAGTGAAGAAACCGGGGAAGTGCCTGCACGACCTTGTTTCGAAACCTCGCCATCGTTCGTTTCAAAACCTCGCCATCAGGGGTCAGCTTCATGCGACATGCTTTGTCACTGTAGTATCATGTAGTATCATGTCGTATCATGTAATTTCCGCACTCGAGATTCTGTTTGTTTTCCCCCTCTATCCATGCCGAGTGTAATTACAGTTGATAGACGACTAGCTTATACATACGTATTCACTTTATGTGCAAACTATGGATTATATAAAGCAAAGGTCAACAACCTCTTTCTGGTGAATTTGGATCATCACCAACAATTCCTTTCTCTACTCTCTTTTAAGATTCACAAAGCCAGCGGCTAGTTATTTATTTCGTCATGAGGCAGGTCCTACTCTTTGCTGCCTGGGCATGGGCGAATGCGGAAGCTTGTGCAAGCTGCCAAGGCAAAGCCTGGACGAGACGCAGTGGCAACGACGACAACAACAACATCAATGCCATTTCTCCCAATTCAGATGAGGGATTTGCACAATTTGCCTGCCGCACAGTGCCCGCATCTGGTGCCGACATGGGCAAACGTGCGTCAGTCAAAAGTGACTGCGGTAAAAACAAAGATGCCATCGAGACTGCGCTCAAGACTTGCGTCCAATATGCAAAGGCCGGTGCGGAAGAGGCAAAGAAAAAAGACAGCCAGCTGTTTGAATTCTTCTTCAAGAAGGAAAACGATGACCAGCGGAGCAAAATCGCTGAGCGGTATGAACAGATAGCGGCCGAATGCGGCGCGACACAAGGCGGTAAAATCTCCGTCACTTGTCAAGAGGTCATCGGGTCGTGCACGATACCCGAGACGCTGCAGAATGCCACGGCAGTGGCCGATACCAAGGTGGAAAACAGGATAGGGACTCGTGTGCAGCTCTGCCAACCGTTCTTTGACCTTGCCGAGGGCGGCTGTGGCCGATTTGACCGTCCGTCCACCATCGTACACGAGCTCTCGCATGCCCTCATCGGCACGCAGGATTTTAATTCAAGCTACGGCTTGCGCGCCCTCCAGGAACTCAAGGCTGAGCAGAACTTGGAGCATGCCGACACTTATGGCTTTTTTTCTCAAGCAGCTTCCAAGGGATGCAAGACGGCCGAACTGGAGAAGGCCCGTGACTCTGAGGTGACTGTATCCCGTCCAGGGCAGGGGATTCAACCGTCCACAGGGCAGCTTGATGGGACTCAACCGTCTACAGGGCAGGTGCTTGAGGGGACTCAACCGTCTACAGGGCAGGGGACTGGATCAACTCCAGGTCAAGGTAGACCACGTCCATGGCAGTGGACTTCATGGCCGTGGATTGGATCAACTCCAGAGCAGGGGGGCCGGATCATCTCCGGAGCCTGAAATCCAGAACGGCATCAACATCCCCTTCGGCTGGACTCCGTAGACATTAAAGAGTCCTGAGGCTATGCATGGCTGCATCGACCAGCTGTCAATCAGAATTGGGTGGGGAATGGGGAGGCGGTAGCAGGACATGTGTTGACGACGATGATGTGAACAACTACAAGGCGGCAGTTGCAGGCAGCTAGCTTACCTTTATAAGACCCCAATAACCTGGTTAGATAGCTTCAATCAAGGACTATTCTACTTTTATTCAACTTGTAGCCAGCCACCTCGCGATATGTTGTAGTGCCTTCTTTCTTTTTTTTTTTAGACAGCTTGAGACTATTAGATAGATCTGCATGTGGTATCACGACCCAGCACGCACTGCAGTGTAGGCCGCAGGACGCGCCGGCTGCAAGAGGTTACGTGGGAACCACGGAATGATAGTCGGCACAACAGTACGGCAGATAGGATTATTGGGACCTGTAAACAATCCAACAGAGCTGTATTGTTGACATCTTCAAGAGATCAGGCGTGGGCTTTATCTTACTTTTAACCGGTAAGCCAACGCGTTCACGCGGCCCCTCCTGCTTGTTGACAAGCTTTTTATACTCGGAAAAAAGAGCATAAAACGGTCGCTGTCTAAAGGCCTTGGTATAGGGTCGCAGCCGCCAAATCCATGTCCGAATTCTGAAGACCAACTTTCAAGGGGAGCTTGGTATTATCGCCAACGGAATTCTATTTATTATTATTAATACTATTATAGCTGCTTATACTACTAGGTAGTAATATAATTAATATTATAGATTTCTCGGCAGAGCCAGGTAATAAAGGTAGGTGATATCAAGTTATAGCGCATTAAGCTTGTCTGTGTTGGTATAATTTGGTCCATCACGCAATAATAAAGTCAAAGTCAATTTAGAGGGGAAAAGAGGTACGTGGTAACCAGATTCTTTCAAGTCAATCGTGCTATACTTGTATAGCCGTTATATAAACAGAACCTAAGCTTTAGCCGTAGCATTAGCTAATTAGGAACTTGGTTAGGAAGCAAGAACTTGACCCCAACTGTCTTCCCAGATTTAATCCGCTCCACCAACGTAATAGTGCACAAGCCTAATTATCTATCCAAGTCCATAAACTATTCGGAATCGTATCGTTTTCCCATTTCCCCTCTCTAACAATTCGCATCTTTTAGCGGTATTTAACGCTCTACTTACTTCTTCTCTGATCCCTTTCCCTTCTTTGTCCACCAGCATTCTCCTCCCCGGCGCAGCTAAGCCTCGCCGTGACTGCGACCATGAGCCACTCCTGCATTATTCAGCAATAATAGTCTTAGGTAACGTACCGTCAAGATCCCTGGAGGTGCGTAATCTGGCGCGGGAAGTTAAGCAGTTAATAATCGTACGATCGCTCTCAGCCCATCGTTCAAGTGGAAGATATCCAGCTTCCGGGATTTTACGTGCTAGTAAGCGTTCACCTGATCCAGGGTAAGACACCAACACGACTTCGGCGGTTAAGGGAAGCGGAGAGGTCTCGTCAATTCATGTGCCGCAAAGAGACACGGCCGCAGGTCATGGACCTACGTCGGATGTACCCTGGCAAGTTTGGGACGTGATGTGCCCGCAGGCCAAGGTGGCCGAACCAATCCCTGAGAATACTAACCCCAGATTCAAGGCTGTCCAACGTCAGCTGGAAAGGCTGCGGTGACGGAATCAGATGAGGCATCCCGACAAGGCAAATCTTGCAAGATCGAGAGAGCTGCCAAGTCTCTGGAGGCAGCCCATCACGAGAGCTGGGCATTACTAAAAGACCATCTTGTTGAGTGTTCTCGACGGGAAAAGCGCGTGGCAAGCAATAGTGTTTATAGCATTGACAAATGCTTGTAGCTTATTCAGGAGTAGATTATAGGCTTGTAGATTTGACAGATACTAGAAAGCGGTTGAGCATTACATACCGACCAACATGGCCCGGGGATTTGTATCCGTAATAATCCTAGCTGAACAGGAGGGAAGCAGTGAAAGGACGCATGCATCAAGGACATGGAGCTGCGACAGACAACGATACGGCCAGCGCGACCAATACAATGCTAACGGCGACACAGAGGGAGCAGAGGAGGCGACAGGGTTAATAGAGCGATGAAGCGGACTAAAGTAAGAAAAATGAATGAGTTGGGTTTGATGGTGGTCTTGTAGAATTTGATTCTTTAAAGCAGCGGGAGGTAAAGGGCTTGTTATACTCGTGCGGGCAGGCGGTCGAAAACGGCAGCCAATTTGCAGCGACCGACTTTACCCCTGGACTTGACGCAAGTTGTTATAAGGCTATCTCTTTGAATACAAAGGGGCTCGCGGGGGCCCTATTGCCCTATATATCGCGCGTTATAAAGCTAGTACTACTAAATAAAGGATATATTTTATATTAATACCTAATAAGAGTATTAATATAAGGAATATTACTTAAAATATATAAATAAACGTATTATTTAATTGTTATTTTTTGATTCGTATATAACCCCTCAAGTGAATACGTACTGCACAAGCCCCTCCGTATTCAAAGAGATTCTGCCTCTAACCCATATATAGACAGGCAATAGTAGTGGGCCACTGCGAGACGCTGGTACCGCTGGTGTAAAAAAATCCAGTATAGTGCCAGCACCACAAAAAGCTACAGCGCGGTGCTATAATTTTACACGGTAGATGCATATATTACTAATTGCACGATACTAATTGATAGATTTTTATAGAGCTTTTTTTAGAATATAATAAAAAATTTATTTACAGGGATTAAATATATAGCTTATAAATTACAAATTAAGTATTATATATTACTACTATAGTAATCACGATTCATCAACCAAGATACCAGACCCGTAATTAATATTATATACAGGGTACTAGCCCTGAATTTCCGGGCACCTTTGGCACTTTTTGGCGCCACAAGCCTATATAGAGCCCCACTCACACTCCTGGATACATAATCTATTTACGCATCCCTGGGACATCCTTGCTATTATTTTCCTAGTTTGATATTGTCAAGGCCGCGTCTAATAAGTGCATCGTTAATAACTCATGAGCACATCTTGGTAGCTATTTACGTACCGGACACCTTGGCACTCCCAGCAGCATTATATCAAGTCCCACGCTTTTTCCATAAAAACGAGAAGCGTGGATATACAAACGCAAAATTAAAGCGTATGCGCGCGAGTCAATACATGTCGTAACTAGTTATACCTGCAAGTCCGGTAGGATTTAATACCCGGCTGCGCTGCACTTTCCGTTTCTCTTGAGCAATCAATAATTCTTTGAAAACTTATACATCAGCAGTCCACCGACTTGTAAGATGCACAAGTTGCATCTTACAAGTTCCATCCAAAGTACAAACCATCCCCGATCTATGCATTCAATGATATTGGCATCATAAAATTATCAACCCCGATTGTGAACAGCAGCACGATTAGCTACGCGGTCCTACCGGAAAGTAACTCTGTTCCGCCGGTTGATTAATTTGCTGTAGCAGCAGGCTGGTAAGTGCTAGTAAACTTTGCACTATGAGATGTTCTTGGAAAGGTGTTGACGAATAGGCAAGGGGCCGGAAAGCTCCCTGAGACAAATCTCGTGTGGATAAACTTAACAAGATCACTATTCCTATTCAGTCACCACAGTACTGCGTAGATCATCATCCAGAGGGGAGGCGTGTACACAGTATAACCGGTCAAGACACAGTATGTGCTGGTGGCAGTGGCAAGACCCTGTGCTATGGGGATAGCGGCGGTCCTCTTATCGACCAGCAAACGGGAACCTTGATTGGTGTCACGTCAAAAGTTCTTGAGGACGCAAAGGAAAATTACTGCGGCCTGTCCACGGTATTTACTAGGGTCAGCAGCTTTATCCCTTTTATTACCGAGAATCTTGAGCCTGCGCCGTTGACAGATGCTGAAATTGACGACTTTTTCAACAAGGACTGGGCACAGAAGGATGATTGAAGAAATTTACATCACGTTTTCGCGCGACAGGGACCTCTGCTAAGTAACTAGGTACTTAAGTAGCTAGATAAATTGCACGACAAGTAGAAAATTGACAACTTCCCCCGTTGTAAAGCAAGCCTGTGACGAGCTGGAAGGGACTGTTGGCGTGCCACGTGTGCTCCCATCATTACTACCTAGCTAGTACCGGCTTGTAATAGTACCTGGCTACAAGTGGCTTGCATATACAGCCGAGTTGGTTCATTTCCATATGTGTTAAAGTAAAGTTGGCATAGAAAGTGCTGAATCAAACATTGCAGCTTTGCGTTTTTAATGAGAGTCCCGAGTGCCACGCCACTATAATCACGAGCCTTGTATAATTTCAACTTGAATAATAATTGGTCTAAAATGCCTTAAATTACTATAACTGGCCTGAATTTTACCTCCGGTCCGTGTTTTCGTGGATTGTCGCGGTCCTGCCGTTTTGGTGTTGAAGGCTGCAGCACCTCAACACCACAAGCAACTTGATGCGGCCGGAGGGTAAAATGAAAAGGGGCTCTAAAAATAATTCAAATCTCACAGCTACAGAGGCGAGAATCCAACACCTTCAACGAACTCGAATACAGTTTCAAAGCTCGAGTTCAGCAGCAACAGCGACAGCCTTGGAAGCCAGAATTCATTCGTGTTGGCTTCAAAAAGGTCGAATCTAGTTCTCTGGCCGCTTCATCTGAAACATTGATGCAGTTGGCTCAAGAAGCTCTTTAGTTTGCCGTCTATGGGCTTGGTCCGATGCAACATTGCGAGGGCGACCCTTTCTCGACTCCATGAAACAGGGTGATAAACCCGGGTATTATCTTGGCGCGCGTGGCTTGGACGAGGCTGGGGAATCCCGTATCCCTGTTTCCACAGGTCCACATACTTTTAGATGTACTCCGAATGGTAGCATCCAATGTGCCCGAGTTATGTACTGATCCGTTACGCCTTGTCAAGCAGCTCCCCGTACTATTCCCGAGTATGACTGTAAGCATCTGTCTGATACCTTCCAAGACTGCTCCAATGGATCGAGAACGACATAGCTAGTGCTTTGTATAACGACGTCGAATCACTAGCACTGTCTTGATAGCGCGCCATTCCGTAAGCGGTTTCTCTATTGTTTCCAGCACACGCCTTTAATCAAGGCCGTTTCCCATACTGCATATGTCCATGTAAGCGTAGTGAGTGGCCAAAAGTCTCTACATCTTACTCGGGGGACAGGATTTGCGCGCAAACACAAACAACTTTGTGCCTGTCGAGGTGTGTATTGCTACGCATACACTGCCCCGCTGTAGGGCAGCTTTGGCTCACAGGGCTGTAGTTTTACGTGTAGCAGTCTTGAGTATTCTTGTTGTGTGTTGAGTAAGCAAAAACTTGTATCATAGTTCTTCCTTCTTTTCCACAGAGCATGTCATTTTCTGTGCTGGTATTAATCGGGCGAGCCTTGTTCGGTAGACCGACAACAGACAAACTTGGCAAAACCTGGTATTGTGGAGCGGATTACTCTGGAGGTAAGGGCTACTAAGCATTGGAAAAACTAACTGGACTACAACATGACGGCATTATATTGACAAACTCGTCATCTGCTCTACGATACCAATGCCGGGTTTCTACTGGCCATGCAGGTACGGCTTGGCACAAGTAGCTCCAACACAAGTTCCGGTAGTCAAAAACTGAGTTTCGTATATTGATACACACTCCACATTGTAGGCGAATATAATGACTTGAATCATGCCAGTAGACTCTGGACCATTATCTAGTGGGCAAGCCGGTCTGTGTGCTACTATGTTCCGTATAAGCAACCGATGGTGGAAGTATACTTTAGTTCTTGTAAAGCCATGTCTCCTTTAACCCTTTCAGGTGCATGCCTGTTGCCGACTTGTAGTTACGCACCTGTGTTTAAGTGCTTTGTAATCACGACTATAGCGTCAGCCGGACGTAACCACCCGGTTAATGTATGCAGAATTAATTATTTGGTAGCATATAATTAAGTCCTCTCAAATATAAATTAAACATGTCCCCTTACGACTATTCTACATCTGCATCCCCTCTTCTCTAGTCAAATAATCCCAGCACCATCTTGATTATCCTGAATACTTGTTGTTTCAAAACTTGTATACTTCTCCGTCGTCACCTGTGATAAGGGTACGATAGTAGACTCGAAGCGAAAGGCTTAAATCCAGAGATAATCTTGGAGGGTGTCAACGGTTCTTGATTTTGTATGATTATGAGAGGGACTAGCGACCACTCTATATACCTGAAGGTAACGCCTGTGCCTAGAGCTCTTGCCAGGTCATGTATTTAACTAATCTGTGAAACCAACAAGTGCTTTGTCGGTGAAGCCCATTTGTTGGATTTCACAACTGTTGGGTCTTTTTCGTGTAATATGACCCCAACATGAAGCTCCTCCATCATATTTTGAACGGCATCTTGGCCGCAATGACCATCAGTCAACCACTTGTTCAAGCGGCACCGGCAGAGTCGATTTCGGCAACAACCGAGACCGTTGCCGCCAGTGGTGAACAAATCGCAGCCAGCAAGGACCAAACTCGGCCCTTCTACGCTATTTCTCACCAAGTTCTCCAAAAATCAGGCGTACGGGATGCTCTCAAGAATGGAGCCAACGCTACTGAAATCGACGTCACGGCTTGGTCCAGCGGCTGGTGGGCGGACCACGACGGGCTGCCTACAAGAGCCGGGGACACGGCGGAGAAGATGTTCCAGACGATTGCAGCAGAGCGCCGGGCCGGCACAATATTATCTTTGTCTGGCTCGACCTTAAGAACCTAAACTATAAGTCTGATCCCAGTATAAACACCAGTATTAAAGGACTTAGAGAGCTCGCCCGCGACATTCTGCAACCCGCCGGTGTCAAGGTCCTTTATGGACTCTACAAGTCCACCATTGGCAAACGAGCATATAAATCCATTCGCAGCGACTTGAATGAGCACGAGGCTCTCAATGTGGACGCCGAGGTTGCCGTGTCGGAAAGGGAGCTGGCATATTTGCCTCGAGGAAAACGCGTCTACTCCAACGGGTGTTTCGATCTGGCTTTGGAGTTGGAGGGTCCATTTGAAAACCTGAGCAAGGCTTCCAAGAGAGAGCGGAGCTTTTGGAAAGGTATTCGGATGGACGCTTGCCAATCACAGCGACAAGACAAAGGGTGGCCCGGCTGATCAATGACGCCAAAGTCGACGGCCATATTTACGGCTTCAAACATGCAGACTATCATGACCACAAAGATACCAGAGAGTCCATGGAGGACATCGCTCGTGTCATTCAGGCGAATGGCGGCTACCGAATAGCGAATACCAATGACAACCCTTGGAGCGTGTAGTTGCCTAGTATTAATTCGATGAAACCGGAGCCAAGTCAAGGGCAAAAATATATATTATCGGCAACAACGAGGTATACGAGGTTAAATTATAAATGGCCCTTGTAAAGTAGTATTTTCCTTTTACCTAGTCCTGTTACATCGTAATGCAGTAATAATTGAACTTTTCGTGATATAAATCAACCTCTCTAACCTCAAGTGCTATTATTTAAACCCCGCACCTTATAACCTACTAGTTCATTTAAATCTGGTAATGACTCTAGTATGTTACACGGCAGCATATATACGTGTTACACGGAAATGGGCCAATGTCACACGGTTACACAAGGGCTACGGTCACGGGATTAGGGCAGAAGGTCCTCACCGACTTCTTGTATAAATAGACATCTTCGGTCCCTCAAGGCCTTGAGGAAAACCAAGGACCTTTGATACCAAAGACTGTTATTAGATGAATTGAGTTATTGCTCCAAGCCCTCTACTGAGCCCTTGTCACAATACGCAAGGTCCAAGTTATCGCAAGTTGCCTACATTCTCTATAATCTAGCGCTTCTAGCACCACGAATATAAAAGGTAATAGTACCGGACTACTTACGGCCACCTGCATATACACCTGCTAAAAATGCCCATCAATTCCCACTGTACTATTCGCATCCCTATGAAATCCTAGTGCCGATGTCCAAAAACAAAGGGGGTCCCCTGCAAGTTGAGCGTCTTCCTCTCTTCAACTCACCGCCTGCAGCCGCAGCGTATTGTGCCTCACAGCCAGAGGCAACTTTGGCCGCGCAGCCGAAAAGGACCAAGTACATGCCGTTGCTGTGCGTGTCGTCTCAGGCGTGTATGGCCAGTTTACATTCCTGGTGGCTGGGGAACCTGGCGTATAAGTTGACTTTTTATTCCCCGGTTTCTCGTTCAACGGTGTAGCCTCTATGCATTTCTTATTACTTGTCTTCTCGGAATAGTGGTAAGCCATGACTATATACTTGTACTTCTTCTTATTATAGCCCTTTATCAAATGGTTGACACCTAAAAATACAGCCTAATAAAAGAGTATTGTTAATAAGAAACCTTGAAATTATCTAGATAAAATATATAACTTATTAAAAGCTTTAAATAAAAGTGTTTCATTTCTGGTATATTGCGGTTACGTGACTAGCTGTTATGGCCTTGGTACAAGTTGGCTACTACAGCTAGCCAGCAACTACATCGTGTGCGGGCTGTGCATTTAAATCTATCAACGTATTATCACGGTTTAACCACATCAAGTAAAAGGGAACTACACAAGGGCCCGTTACAGTTAACATTATGTACCTGTTGGCTCTAGATATCCTGTATTTTCCCGTTGATAATACAAGTCATGTATAGGTTTTTCTAGTTATTCTTATAATTATAATATTAGTCAAGGTACTAGGGCAGCTAGCCGACTCGTCATATAATATCCACAGCATGAGAACCGGGCTATCCATCCATCTGTTGCCCATGTCCTAGATCTCCAGGTCGGTTCTCATAGTCACATGTACCATAGTCTACCAGCTCTTGTAGTACTTCTCCTCCGTCTTTCCACGGAACCACTCCCAAAGACCGGAAAGGTGATTGACATTAGTCTCCTTGACTTGAGTCCAGGCAGCGTTAAGCTTAGCCCTCGCGTCGTCAATAGCCTGGTTAATTTCGCCCGAGAATTCTGGCGCAAAGGCCGTGGCAAACTTGCGCTTGGCCAGGTCAAGGGATTCGCGGGCCAGAGACACGCGGTGTTGATTCCAGCCCCGGAGTGAATTAATAATGTCGTTGCCCTCCTTGTCCTTGTCGTCCGAGACGCGGGTGTTGACGAGGCGGTCGATGAGCAAATATCTATTATAGATCTGGTTTCCTTGCCGGAGAGCCTCGAGACCAGCGTCGTAGTCCTCCTTGTTCAGGATGCGATAGGCGTCAATGGTATTGGGGTCCTTGCCTCGGGACCAGAGGCATGCGTCGGCGTCGGCAAAGTCCTCTCCGTGGTGCTGGTAAAATCCTCGGAGACAGTATTCAATTGTGCCGGTGCAGTCCTCGGCATAAGTAGGAGGCCGAGCCTGCAGAGTCGGACTGTCGTCGCGTACGTAGCAGCCCGACCCGTTTTCTGAGGGCTCCTTGAAGGGCTTGTTGTCGCGAGTGGCTTTCTGCTGCTGGGGGGCTGCAAGAACAGCACCCACCAGCAAGGGAAGTGCGATGTAGGCCTTCATGGTGATTGCGGAAGATGGGTTTGTTCGAAAAGTTGAGAGCAAGGCAAAGTGCGAACCTGAAACAAGAGCTGGTGTGAACTTGAGATCGTGGCAAGGAGGTTTGGAAAAGCGCCCTCTTTATAGAAGGCTCTGCGCAGTCAACGTACTATCCGTTGTCGTATAAGGAAAGTTGCCATGGTAGGGTTCTGTGTCAGGCTACGCCCAAGAAGTATTACGTAGTTGGTGCTATACATGCCAGTGAATGGACTATAATTGTGTCGTTCCATTCAAAACTCCAGACGGTAATATGGCTCCGCTTCTTGAGTCATACTCATGGCAATGCATCAGAGATTTAGTTGCCATGGAGGCTCAGTCGGTGGACAGCAACATGGCGCCAAGTGGTCCATGTCGTCGTAATGTCCTATTGCGTTAAATTTGAACTATACACATGGGACGATTCTACCCGTTGTTGCCTTTGAGCCAAGGAACCCCCCATTCAATATACCGCCGGTATTTGCTTGAGCCCACAACTGCATGAACGCCCAAGCTGGAAATGCCTACGCACTCTTGTCATGAAATGGGTTGGGATTTCAAATGCAAGGTGCGCAGGCCTCATCTCACGTTGCCGTTGTACGTGCATGATGCATCCTTGTTGGGCCCTAACATTTCCAAGGCCAGAGCTAGTGGCGGAAGCATACTAATTATTCAAAACATGCGACGAGCGGTTTCCTGCCATAAAGCAACTTGATGCAGCTAGCTACACTGCGGTATGATTATTCGTGTTGTCTACCTTGTGCCAGCTGAGCACATGTGACTGCTGTCCTGCCTGTTGACGTTTCCCATGGTCTTAGCTGTGTTGTCTCCTGAGCACGACTCAGATCCCAAACCTGTTAGTGACCCGACAAGGAACGTTTGGGTTCATTGTGGATTATATACAGGGGCCTCTCTACTAACTCTGGAGCATAATTAATTCATCTCATAAAAAATTCGAGACATAGCCTTGTGGGGGCCCCTTTGCCCCATGAATCGTGAGGAAATGAAGGGAGTGCTAGGCAAACAGGCTATTCACTACGTGCTAATTTTTATTCAAGTAAACATTGAGGTTACTATTTAACTATTAGTATCTAATTAGCTATTAACCCCTAGAACCAACTGTTCACAAGGTCCTCGACTTTTTACAAGATTTTAGTAGCCGTTCATCGTGATTCAGAGGGGAGTAGTAATATTTCCGTGATAACTTATATGAAATTCCTTTTAAGTAGTTACAGCCCCCCTTATAATATCACACATGGCTATACATTCAGTACGCAATAAGTGACGCGGACCGCTTGGCGCTGTGCATCGCCCGTGGTGCGAGCACATAGTTGGGGCTCGGTGATTTACCGATTATCCCACACCCTGATCGGCTCACGTGCTGTAAAAGAACATTGGACTATCAAGGTCCGTGCCTGGCAAAAGAGTCAAGTCTGGTGCAAGCCACGTCGCCAACGACAAGCACACGACAACCACGGGGTACGGGTAGAGCCTTGTACTGTCAGCCAACAACGCCCACGGGTAAGGTCTGGTAGTATTAGTTGACACCAATTTGCAAATTGTGGGAACAAACACGTCCAGATGTCTTGTGTAGGACGCTCGGCAGCTGGAGACGTGTGGCCGGCAGTCCTGACTCGATGTACCCTGGCAGAACCAAAGACTTGCAAACGCCACTCGCCGAGGACGACACCATCGTCCGAGTTCAAGCGGGGAGCGTAACGTTGAAGCCACCCACATGTCCATCCTGTGCTAAAAACCATCTGCTGGGATTCGCTAGGCTTTGACGAAGCCAGAAAAGTCGTCGAGGCGGGCTGCGGAATGGCAGATTTGTAAGGGGGCGACTGGCGTTGGAGAGGAGTGCCTTCTCGACATTCAAGATGCTGCCAGCATGCCACTGGCATAGTACTCTCTTGCAGGTCTTGGCCCTGGTCCGCACCTCTCAGTTCAGAGACGGCATCCTCTGCGTGACGAATGGAAAGGCCCGCATGTCATGGTGAATGCGCTTGGGGGAGAGCTCCTGATCGACACTCAAGCTTTGGCCGCGCGATTCGGCCGAGTCGTGGAAATCGACAAAAAGGCCGCCTTGCAGAATAACAGCTTACCCATGGGAACGTTTGAAAAAAAACGTCTCCCTTAGCAGCGTAGATCTTCGTGGGCTGTTTCAGCATAAACTGGAAGAGGTGAGGGACGCTTTTGGCCAAGTGCTGCGGGTGCTTTGGCGCCACGTCGTCGTTCCTATCAAGCCTGTGTCGATTTATTTTACCAATTTCTCAGATTCCCTCGGTTCTACGCAAGCCCCGGGCCGGTGAAATGGGCAAAATTGTCCTAACCTTGAATCAAGATCAACATGTCATGGCAGAGAGTTGGTTGCGGCCGACGGCATTTTCGCTCAAGAGCGACGCGACCCATGTTATCACTGGAGGAACCCGCTGTATCGGTATGAATCTAGCGTACTAGATGATTGACAATGGAGCACGAAATGTTGTTGTTCTTGGTCGCAGCGGCAGTTGCGGTGCAGAGGTTTAGAAGCTATTGACGAAATATGACGGGACCAATGTCAAGGTTCGATCTCTGGCTTGCCGTGTTGGACCCCGTGCGCGACTCGCCAAGTTTGTCGAGTCGGTACGACATCTTCCACCAGTTTGTGGTGTTGTGCGCAGTGCTCTTCTGCTTGGCGTGAGATGGCTCCTATTCAAGAAGCTACTACCTCGACTTGACGGGATAAACTGTTTGAGAATACCACTAATGAGGACTAGGAGACTGTTCATACTTGGAGCGCCTTGCATAGGATACCTTTGAAACTGTAGAAGGCATCTGCTGTGTCTATTCGCTATTTTTGAGGTTCCTGTGTCATGGTAATCGCACCATGTCGACTCTCAACGGATGTTACACGAGGGCCATCACGGCAAGGCCTATGGCAAAAGGCTCTCACTGACTTGTTGTGTAAATAGAGCTCTGTGGTCATCTACGTCTTGAAGAAAGCCAAGGTCCTCCAATACCAAAGTCTAGTAGCAGATGAATTGAGTGACTACTCCAAGAGTCCAGGCGGTCCGCCGAGTCGTTGCCACACGGTCCCTTCTTGGACATGTGCAAAAACCTTGTTGGCCCACATGATGCTCTTGGAAGAGACGATTCTGCAGACGGTCTTGATCAACATTTTTGTCCATAAGGAGCCGACCAAATTCCAAGGATTCGATCTCGGGCAGGCAAGTGGGCTTTTGGAGCCCCTCTCCCCCCAATGTGCCGGTACATTTGCAGGGAAGCCCAGTACTCCATCCAATCTCATTAAAAAGGTCGATACAGTTTCTTCAGCGGGGCCATCTGGGGTGGATCGTGGAAAATTCCCGCAATCCTGCTCGCCAGGACGCGAATAGGGGTGCTGAATAAACCCTCCCTAACAATCTCGGAATAATACAGCCATCTCAGCGTTTGCACACATGTCGTCGCGGAGTGGCTGCGTCGTCAACGATGATTGGATGTCGCTGTTTTGCAGCGCCTCGTCCAAATCGACTCACGGCCGTTCCCGGCGAGCCGAAACGGCCGGCGAGTGACCTTGCCGAATGGCGCTAGGTTCGGCGCTCAATACCTACTTAGGTCTGGTAGTACGTACTTAGGTAGTCTGGTATACCAGACACGTCGACGTACTACGTACATACATATGTACATCCTCCACGCCCGGAGTCGACATCCTCGGCATCCAATTGGACCAGACTGCTTCTTGGCCCGGGCAACAATCCACGTTGCATGCAACGACAGCATAACGTAACAGGATCCTCCAGGCCATTTCCATGGAAATCTGTGTAAACTGCCTCTTTATGGCCTCTATCGTGCAATTCCCCTCCTACATCGCAACATCGCCCAGCATCTTGCCGTACCCCGCCATCCCTTCATCTAATACTCATTTCCTACGCGCAAGCCTCGTCTCTCTGCCACCTCCACCATCCATCATTTACTACCGAGCCGCCATCGCCATCTTGTCTCTTCGCCAACGGCCCTGCCGCGATTCACAACCATGGCCGCGCCCTCATCATCCCCCCCCATATCCTACGGCGTGCTCCTCTACCCCGGGTTCGAGGTCCTCGACGTCGCCGGCCCCCTCGAGTGCCTCAACACGCTCGCCGACTGCCTGCCCAGCTCCAAGCTGACCCTCTCCATCATCGGCCGCCCCGTCGCCACGGACCCCGCGCCCCCGGCCCGCCGCGTCCCCATGCCCCTATCGCCCGCCAACCCCAGCGAGGGGCCGCCCGCCTCCCAGCCCTCCAACAGCTTCACCTTCAAAGCGGCCCAAGTCTACCTCCCGACGCACACGTTCGACACGGCGCCCCCGCTCGACGTGCTCATCCTCGGCGGCGGGCTCGGCAGCCTCCCGACGGACCAGGTCCAGCCCGAGATGGACTTTTTAAAAACCGTCTTCCCGTCGCTCCGGTACCTCTTCACCGTGTGCACGGGCTCCGGCATCGCCGCCCGCGCAGGCCTGCTCGACCGCCTGCGCGCCACGTCCAACAAGGCCGTGTGGGAGCAGGTCGTCGCGTGCGGCCCCAAGACGCACTGGGTCGCGCGCGCGCGGTGGGTGGCCGCCGGCAAGGTGTGGACGACGTCGGGCGTCAGCGCGGGCGTCGACGGCATGGTCTCGTTCCTGAGGCACGTGTACCCCGAGGAGGAGCACCCCGGCCTGGTGCAGAAGGTGGTTGATTACATGGAGTATAGGCATGAGCCGGACCCGTCGAATGATCCGTTTGCCGACGTCTTTGGCGCACACGATGTGCTGCCCAAGGCGTAGTTGAATAAGACACAAAAAAAAAGAAAAAAAAAGAAAATTACATCCATGGCACAACTTGACAACGTGAGACTGAATTTCTGTGGGAAATGCCTCCCTCGAGGCTTGCGCGATTAAGGAAACGAAAACGGACAAAGATGGGATCGGGTCCCTGCTGTTACGTGTTCCGATGAATAGATGCCGACATCTTCTAATGCCTATGAGCGCGGCCCAGCCGTCATGGACACGGCGTTGCGCAAAAACGGCCAGCACATTACATCCCTACCCACTTGACTTTGCCGTGGGGCACATTACGCTCTCCCATGCATTATACAACAACGACACATGCAACACAGTCTCAGATAATATGATTACTCGCCGCGTAGCTCACCCCATCAGGGTTTCGTAGCCCTTTTCCATCATGACATCCATCCAGTATACATTCTGTTGTTTCTCTTCCATGCACTTCCACGTTTCTTTAACGAGTAGCAGCATTCGCCGTATGGGCTTGGCGGCGAGGATATTCTCAAACGACGAAAGGCGTGAAATGACAAACTTTCTTGCACGCAAAACGTCGAGGTCAGTCGCCGGCGCTTTGAACCGTGGGCTGGCGGCAATGCTTGCCACGGGCGGTATCAACACGTCGGGAAGCGAGACAGACCCGCGGCCAAGAGCCAATTCACTGCAGATGCTCACAAACAGCAACGGCTGGATGGACCGGCTCCTCGATGATGTAGGAATATCCTGTATCAAGTCGAGAATGTGGAGGGCCAGCCCAGTCAGCCACACGTCTTGTGAGAATGCTGCATCTGAGCTGGGGCGAGAATCCTCAAGGGTACTCGAGCTGGCAGACCGGGGTTTTTGTTTACATAATGACGCATGGGCCGACAGCAGATCTGGAAAGTTGCGGTAGAGTTGGAGTAGGCCGGTACACCTGTATGCCTCGGCGACCTTGACAAGATGATCTGCCGGAGTCATCTCATCGCCCGAGTCGATAATCTCATCCTCACGCGGCAGCTGGATTGCGCACAGCTCCGAGTGCAGGCGCTCCGCGTCAAGAATGGCGGTTTTGGCTTGGTCAATATCATTTCTAGAGGCAAACTGGCGATTGCGAATGCGATTTCTTTCTTTCCTGACAAGGCTCGCCACTTTTGCCACGAGCCTCTGAACTTGGATGCCGATACCGGTTTGAGGATGTGGTATGTGTGATTCCGATGTTTCCGGCCCTTCGAATGGCGCTGGCTGTGGTTGGCTTTGGGTCATGCCCTGGAGATTGGAATCGCGGTCCGTCACGAAGGCGAGCAGCATCTGCCAGTAGACGAGGGAGTTGTAGAAAAAGACCCTTTTATGCTTATGGGCCAAAGTAGAGTTGATCTGGCCGCTGCCCGAAGACGAGACCGTCTTGGCCAGTATTTCAAACTCGAGCTGGCCTACGCTGTCAGGGTCGTGCCAGCTGAGGCTCATTCCAAGCATGACGAGTGCCAGTAGGGATGAGGTTTCCATTTGAGACTCGCGAGCTTCCATCGACAGACACAAGGCTGCTTGGTCTCGCAGCTGCTTACCGAGAGAAGAGAGGCCGGGCATGACGTCGGAGAGGCAGGCAGCAGCCATGCTCTGGGTGACGTAGTAGAGCGATTGGGAGCCGGACCAAATGTTGGAAATGGTTGTTCTGTAGGGATTCATTTGACTGTCGTAGCAAGACATCATTCCGCACACCTCTTTGAAATAGTACTCGACCAGGATTGACGTGTGATCCTGCAGCGCCTGCGCCAGCGGCATCTCGCAACGAGACCCCCAAGGCTGGCTCGGAGACTCAAAGAGCGTTGGCATGTCGAACTCCGACCTTGTCTCGCTCAACAGACTATTTGGCCAGCAGCCATCCTCATCGAACGGCTGGTACATGCCACCAGACATTGGACCTGGAGTTTGCTCAAACGAGGGCGTCGTACCCCCTGAAAGATGCTCAAACGGTGAATCTGACGCGAGGCCATCATGCTGTGTTATGCCATTGGCTCCGGTTACGAGGGGGTTCGTGAACTGATCCAGCAGTTCGGAGCCGGAGACATCGACCGTAGACAGGGCAGGAGGTTCGGCCGGAGGCTGGGCGAAGGAGTAGGCGGCCCAATTCGGAGGCGGTCTCGACGGACTTGCCACGGGGGAACTCGATGTCCCTTCGGGGGTTCGCAAACTTGTCGTCCACTTCAAGGGTTTCTGGTACCCGGGGCACGCGATGCCCAGTCTCTGACAGCGCGAGCAACTGGGCCGGGCTTCATCGCACTTGAGCTGCAAAACGCACAGTTAGCGGCCGAGCACGGCACGTCTGACAGCGGATGGCTGGCCTACCCTCTTGCATTTGCACACGGCACACCCGTTGCGTGACCTCGTGATTCTGATTCGGGTCGGTGGGAACATTGGAATGTGATGCCTGCCGACTCCCGAGTCGCTTCAGCCTCACTGACGATATGCGGGGAAACAACAGGTCACAGGTCCCGAATCGGAAAAGGAGTCAGGGGTGACCTGGAAAGGAAGATTGAAAAATCCGATGTCTGCCCCAGGATCGAGGGACCCACATGCACGCTGACTCGCTTTCCTTTGCTACCAATTGCCCGTTTCGTTTTAGCGAGGCACGTATCTCCATCTTTGCGTAACCCCAGAAGATAACAAGATTCTAGCCAACATGTCGGGCCCTCCACTCACCAACATTGATCGGAATTCAACTCCGGGGTTTGCGGAGCCTTGTCGAGGAGGATTTGACGGTTTAAAGCACGCATGCCCTCGCGCATGGTCGATGCTTGCTTGGTCTCGTCCATCACTTCGGCCCCCTTCCCCACGTGGCACTGCGCGGCACGGACCGACTCTTGAACCGACGATCGTTGCACAAGGGCTCAAGACCGAGCCACGGCCTCAAGCTCTACGAGTGGCCACTGTGTAGGAAGCTCCCGTCACACCTCGCTCAAAAGACAAGGCGAGCCGGCAAGATGGAGGAAACCCGCGGCACTGCTCGGCAGCGGCGCCCCAAGGCCACCGCCGAGGCCGACGCCTCCCTCGAGCTGCTGGGCATCAAATCCGACCTTGACCGCAACTCCTTCTCCAACCTCTCCATGCTGGGGATGGCCTTTGCCATTGTCAACACGTGGTGCGCCATTGGCACGACGGTCAACGCCTCCCTGCCGTCGGGCGGGCCGAGCAGCGCCGTTTGGGGCATCGTCATCGCCGGCGGCTTCAACCTGTGCTGCGGCGTCTCGCTCGCCGAGTTCCTCTCGGCCTATCCCACCGCCGGCGGCCAGTACCACTGGGCGGCCGTGGCGAGCTGGAAGTCGACCCGGCGCGCCGTCAGCTACATCACCGGCTGGATCAACCTCGCCGCGTGGGTGTGCCTGGCCGGCGCCAACTGCCTGCTCGTGAGCGGCATCATCATGAGCTACGCCGAGCTCATGTATCCCGGCTTTCAGCAGACGCCGTGGCAGCGATTCCTCCTGTACATTGCCGTCGACGCCATTGCCCTCAGCTACAACCTGCTCGCCAACCGCTTCCTGAGCCACCTGAACAAGTACAACATGTTCTTCACCCTTGCCGGCTTCGTCATCAGCCTCGTGGCCATCCTGGCCTGTGCGGCGCCCAACTTTCAGAGCGCCAAGTTTGTCTTTGGCGGATTCATCAACGAGTCCGGCTGGCCCGACGGCTGGGCCTGGCAGCTCGGTCTGCTGCAGGGGCAAGTACACCTTGATCCGTCGCGCGGCTGCAACTCACTAGCTAACACTGCCGTCAAGGGCATTCTCCGTGACTGCATACGACTCGACGATCCACATGATCGAGGAGATGCCGAACCCGACGCGCCAGGGCCCGCGGCTCATCATCTACGCCATCGTCATGGCCGTCGTCACCGGCTTCGGCTACATCGCCGCCGTCCTCGCCGTCATCAGCGATGTCCCGGCGGCCATCTCGTCCTCGCAGCCACTCCTCGAGATCTACTACCAGGCCACGCGGAGCAAGGCCGGCAGCATCTGCCTCATGCTCTTCCCGCTCCTCTCCTTTGTCCTATGCGCCATCGACGACATGGCCACCAGCGCGCGCATAGCCTACGCGCTCGCCCGCGACGGCGGCATGCCCTTTAACCGCCACTTCGCGCGCGTCAGCCCGACCGTCGGCGCCCCGGTGGCCGGGCTCCTCTGGTGCTTCGCGTGGGACATTGTCCTCGGGCTGATATTTCTCGGCTCGACCAGCGCCTTCAACGCCATCATCTCGGCTGCCGTCGTTTGCTTCACCGTCACCTACGCCATCCCCCCGGGCATCAACATGCTGCGCGGGCGGTGCATGCTCCCCGAGAACCGCAGCTTCAAGCTGCCCAACACGGTGGGGTACTTTTGCAATGCCGCCAGCGTGGCCTGGACGCTGCTGACGACTGTCCTCTTCGTCTGGCCCCCGACGAGGCCGGTCGATGCGGTCAACATGAACTACTGCGTCGTCGCCTTTGGGGTCATCATTGTCATTGCCGGCTCCAACTGGATTTTGAGCGCGCGAAAGTCGTACCAGCCGCCTGCGCTCGAACTCGTCCATGGCCACGACACGGCCCTGGTTGATGTCGACCAATTGGAGGATAAAGCTGCAACGGGCGGGATGGAACAGTCTAGCCAGGAAAAGTTAAAGTAGATATAGTAGATGTAGCTTGTGTGCGAACGCATAAACGCCCAATCGAAAGGCAAGAGGTTCAGAGCTCGTGTTCAAGTAGAGCTAAGCGGATAAGTGAATGATTGGCTGGGTTTATATCTTGATGCAGTAGATGTAGGTTCACTTGATGTGTGGCAGATGTTACACGCAAGACGAGAATGCTAACTCTCTAGCCAATTTCGTAGACTCTCCGAGCATAATTGAAACCCTACTCTAACGCAAGTTGACTGTCCTATTTCTACATTTGATATGTCTCACGTAAGCCCTGTGCTATTTATAACAAAAAACCATACTTTGCTTGTGACATGTGCACGTTCGAGCCGCACCCTTGATTATGCGCTTTCATTGTAGCACGTCCAACATGTTGTGATTTATTCCCCATCTTGAATTACCAGCGATAGCACGCCGCAAGTGCTCAATATCGAGTACAGCACAAAGCTATCCTCGTCATCCAACGAGGCACCTTGATCCAGGCAAAAGGGCGGTGTACCGCGTCGACGGCTTGAGCACGATGCATAAGCCATTGTTTTCCTGCCGCTGGCGCACGAAAGCCACCGAGAGGCTGTTGCCGGGGGTGGAATGACCTGATGGCAGCCCGGGTGCGTCAGGAGATGCTACCCAAGTACAGAGTAGTTGGTTGGCACGCTCAACCCTTGCGACCGGTGAGGCTGCTGCCCAGTCACGACGCAGTCTTGTGCCTCGGCCATCTGCAACATTTCAACATTGCAAACCGCAGATCTGACCCGGCACGTCGGCCAGGTCTCAGAAGGACTGTACTCGTAGCTGCCGATCGTATCTGGACAAGATGAAGCCTTCTGCGGACAGCGGATAGTGCCGTGTCTCAAAGAACATTGTGTTGCGTATTATACTCCGCACCGCCGCGCATAAAAAATAACATATATCAACTACTCCGTCCTCCGTACAGACTGTTCGTGTGACAAACCGTTGGTGCAGCAGATAGCCCGGCTGTCGTATTACAAATGGCCTGTCTTTCTTCCCCACCCGCCATGTTACAGCAGCAGATGCCAGATGACTCGTCATGTCCATTATCTGGAGTCGTCACGACCCAGGGGACGGCTGCCAATGGCAGGCTGCTGACCTGCAGAAAGGATCAATCACCGATCCAGCCCAATACGCACCTCGTCCAGATGCGTCTTATACACGACATGCCGCCCTCGTAGCTCTACCCTTCCCAGCGTCCACGCCGAATCCCAAACGACGCCGTCATGGAAACCAGCTATGCGCCGTCCGACGGCCACGACGCCGACGAGGCCGCGCCCCTCGTCGCCGCGTGCAGCCCCGACTCGTCCCCCAAGTACAACCGGCCCGCGGTGCTTCTGCTCTGCGGCCTGCTGACCGTCGTGGCCGACTTTGGCGGCTCGCTCACGGCCGCCCCCGAGGTTCGCCTCCTCGAAATGACCGTCTGCCGGGCGTTTTACGCGCCGCGCGATCCCGGCGTCATCGGGCCCCCGCCGCTCGGATACGTCGACGAGTCTCTCTGCAAGGTGGCGGATATCCAGGTGTCGCTGGCGTATCTGCGGGCTTGGAAGCGCTGCCTCGACAGCATCCCCGGTTCGTTTTTCCTCGTGGACCAAAGTGCGAGAGCTGCGTGTTGGCTGACCTCGTCCGCGTGTCTGCCTGGCAGGCCTTCTGCTGACCCTTCCGTTTGGACGGCTGGCTGATCGATGGGGGAGGAAGCCCGTGCTGATGCTGTGCATAGCCGGCCAGGCGCTCGCCTACGTTTGGCTCCTGATCGTGTGTGAGGGCGTCCCGTACGGTGTCACTGCAAGTCCCGTGTGTACTTTCTAACTCGAGTCGGGCAGGCTACTTCTACGACGTCTTTTCTCCCAAATCCATCTGGTTCGGGTCGCTGTTTCTGGCACTGGGTGGTGGTTCGCGGATGCTCACGGCGGTGCTCAACAGCGTCATTGTCGACGTTTGCGCTGAAGAAAAACGGTTCGTGCATTCTGTTCCCCTCGGTTTTTTGCCAGCACTAAACCGGCTCGTAGCTCGGTGGTATTTTACATATTTGGCGCTGCTATCCATATTACTGACATTGTCGCCCTGCCGCTGGGCTCGTGGTTCCTGAGCCAGGACCTTTGGCTGCCCTTCAAGTTTTGCTCGCCCCTGATGCTTATGTCCTTTGCCATAGTGCTCCTTCTTCCGGAAACCATGACACTCTCCCAATACTCTCCGTTCGTCAACATGTCGCGGCAGGACCGGGAGAGAACACCCGAGGTATGAATATCATTGGCGTTTTAGTCACCTCTCTTGCCGTCTTTGACTAATGGCGTGTCTAGCGTAAGCCTGTTGGACAAAGAAACATGGCAGATGCTCTTCGACGCTTGTACGGCATGGCTCGCCGTAATGACGGAACCCTGGGCTGGTTTGCCTTGATCTTCGTACACTCCTTTGCGATCCAATCCAGCCCCCTACTTCTTCAGTTTGCCTCAAAACGCCTAGAGTGGACGCTGGCTCGCGCGGGCTATCTCCTCTCCATCAGAGCCGTCTGTGCCGTAGTAGTCCTTGTAGTACTGGTTCCGGCAGCGAACTTGGTAGTGGGCAGGAAGGCTAGACATCCACGCCAGGACGGCATCGATATCCTCGTTTGCAGGTTGACTCTGTTTCTGCTTGCTGCGGGCAACGTAATCATTGGCTTCAGCACCAGCGCCATCGTCATCATACTTGGTATGTCCTCTGCGCTCTTTGGACCAAGCAACCTCCTCTGGCTAATTGTCACGGCCGAGCCGATTAGGCACAATCATCGTGTCCTTTGGAATCCCGTTCCCACAAGCCATGCAGGGAATTCTCGGGGATATAGCCCAGCGCGAGGGCTCCAGCACGGCGAGTCTGTACGCAGGGCAGGCGCTTACGGAGCTGGCAGGGGCGTCTTTGGGGACTTTATCGATGGCGACCATCTTCGACCTCGGCTCGCATCTCGGCGGCGAGCGTGAGCTAGGCTTGGGGATGCCATTCTGGGCAAGTGCCGTGAGTAGTCTTTCATATCATGCTTTTGATGGCGTCCGTACCGTCCTGGTGGCAAAGGACTTTGCTGACACAACATGCCCACCATGCCCTCCAGGTCCTGTTTGCCGCGGCCTTTTTTGCATCTTATATTTCTTTGTCAACTTTAGGACTTGTACGGGCAAGAAATTTCACAGTGCGCCGCGACGAATGATGACATGACAAAGACTTGCTATTTACATTGAACTCTTGACACACTATTTATCAACTTGGGACATGAGAAGGCGAGATGTAGATGGAAATATTTTTTTGTACAAAGCCTGCCAGTTAGTCCAATAAATGATAATATGCTAAAAATTAGGAACAAGTTAAAAGATGGCGCGACATCTGCTAAACTTACACATTCAGCTATCACTTTCAAGCACTCGAGTCTCCGAGTTTAGGTTTTCTGCCGATTTCATCTTTGTTCCTTGGTCCTCTATTATTAATCTTTGCGTAAAATATATTCATATGTAGGATATATAATTCAGGGAAGAATTCAAAAAGGGTAGGTTTCTGGTGGAATACCTATCAACTAATCAGATACCAGTAGACGACCTGATAAAAGCCCCATCGAGATTAAAGTCTCAACACTTCTGGACAATGCGAAACCTGGTAGACTCCAAAAAGAAGGCTTGTCTTACAGAATAGGCAGGATGATGATGTTTCAAACAAACATGACAACTACTCGAAGTACGTGACTAGACAACATCCACGCGCATCAACTACTCGGGCCTCATCTTGTGCTATTTCAATCCTGAAGATGGCGCATCTTGGCCTGAGTCCTGCATGGTCTCAGGAACACACCATCCGGCGCCTACCCACGGCTACGATGCCACGCTCCCCTACGAGCCCGTCGCGCTCTCTTCCACACTTGACAACATGGTTGCAAGAAGCGACACACACAAAGTGGACAGTGCCTTTACTTATAGGCAATATCGCCGTACAAGATGGCTATCATCGCGTCCAATTCTTCGCACCACGTCCCTTACCATCCGTGGCAGGCGCCTTCTGGCTTCCCTTAACGCTCTACGCAGGCAGGAGCAGAAGCAATCAACGGGGAGTGCTTATGTGCAAGGTCTACTCAAAAGACTGATCGCGTACGGTGCCCGGGTCCTTGGACTCCATTGCTGATCCACGCTTTATTGCCCCTTCTAAAAGACTTTGAAGGAAATCGGCAGCTTGTTTCTCTACGTTAAAATTGCACGTTTCGGTGTCGAGTGTTTAAACCGGATTACAAATGCTTAGTCGAGGCCGCCCAGGTTAGTATGCAATGCCTTGTCTCATATGGATGTAATTCTTATAGCCCGTCGTTCAGGGCATGGTCTTGACCGGGTTTTGTTTTCGCAAGCACTAGACGACGGCTTGTCCTGGATATACCTGCTGACTTTACTAGGTCCGATGACAATGTAAGTCCAGATGTCCTTGGCATAGGTGTAAGCAAAGCACTGAGCCAGGCAGGCCAAAATTGAAGTTGCTGAATTCAAGCCTGTGGAAACACTTATTAAAGCTTCTGAATTTAAGCCATTTACAGCTGCTAGCATTATTTCCTAGAGCTTCTTATTTTATTATCCTCTCCGGAGGCTTCCGCCTGCGGCGCTGTTAACGCTATTGATACTATTGACGCTGTCGACGCTGTTGATTATATAAGGCTTGTTATTGTAGTGGCGCAGCACTCAGGGACTCTTATTAAAGAAGCAAAATAAGGCGTACTCTTTTCTCTTTTCGCTTTGCTTAATCAATTTCCGCGGCGCCGTCTTAGCTTTTTGACGGGACCTGCCCCAGTGAATGATGTGTTTGGGGTAGCATCTTGTTGCGATTCGTGGGCAGATTCGATTTCCGACTGCGATTGTAACAGGCTGTACCTTTCGAGAAGATGGGAAAGGGCGGATTCATGAAGTGAGGTCACATCCGGATTACCAGGGAGCGTGCCTGCGCCCAGCCAGCACTATACCTTTTACCGTGTAAAATTACATGTATAGCACCGTGCCACTCAGGTTAACCCTGCCTTGACCACCTCGGATTTTAGTACCGTAACGAGGTATCATAGTAGCCCACCACTGACCGTTTGTGTACTGCTAAAGCCTTATTTTGCCTCATGTCTGAAATATCGACGGTCACTTCTATTGCTACGTGGTCTAGGGGGTGCGGTTCTGGTGACATTTATAATATCCCGTGCCACTTTGCCCTAGTCTTTCGCCCCAAATAACTACATGGCATGAGTTTGATTCTCACCATTATAATATCAAAGTGCTAGAGAATCTGAGGGCGTTTATTGAGCTAAACGAATGGAAGACTTCCATCACACCAATTGATTCCAATAATGAATGTGCGGAATAAAAACAGGCCCCAAGATAACTTGGTCCATCTTCCTGTCCTATTTCTTTACTGAGAGCAACAATACCGCAGGCACTTGACAAAGTAACCCAGAATGACTGGCCGTCAAATTGATCCAGGCTATCCTGTTTTTTTATTTCTTGCAACAGCGGTGGTAAGGAGCACCCACACCGCTGCATTCACCGTTGGACTACGTATTGGTCAGATAATCTAGACCTTGGATAGAGGATAATCGGTTGCTACTTACAGAGCAGGAGGTTCCCCCCAGGCAAGCTCCGCAGGAGGCAGAGCAGCATTTCCCAGCAGCCACGGGTGTAGCCACGGCAACCATACTGACAACCAGAGTAATGAGGGTAGAAAACTGCATGTTGGATGGATATGAGGTATGTGGTTGTGCTGTTGATGGAGTTTGTTTGAATTCTTTGTGAATGAAGATGCTGAACGGTGAAATTGGGAGATGAAAGAGGGTTATATATAGTTTTTCAGTGTCAGATGAATGTGCGTTGTCCTTGTCACTGCGGCAAGTTCAGTCCGTAGAATTGCTCTCTCCCTCTTTCCAAACCAAACGTAATACTCACTTCCCCCGCACTGGCCGGAATATGATGCATAGGAGTTGCATTGAATTACATGGAAGGGGCCCAGAACTTGTCTCATATCACCCTCCACGGACGGATCAGGACGAGCAAACGAAGCCTTTGCCGGTATAACGTCAGCATAACAAAGCGCGGTGAAGCACAAACTCGGCATCATCTTGAAGCACAGTCCTGCTTCGCTTAGATGCACTTGTAAATCTCAACAAACACAGGCTTTCAAATCGACACGTCATGGACAAGTCGGTCAGTTCAAACAGCCGAGTACGTATCGTCTCAAGCTCCCAGACGCTCGACTTCATCTCCCACTGCATGGCATCGCTGTCGTACCAATGCGTCATGGATATGTACCTTGTTGCAATGTCTCCGAGGTTGAGTGGCTCCCAGACAAGCCATGCAAAGTGCTATTTGCCGAGTCATGACAAGCGTGGATATCACGGTACAGTCGGTCTGACCACCAATATCGACAAGAGGTCTTGGCTCACGCTCTTGAGTCTTTATCAAAAGACAAGAGGCGGAAATGCACGACATGCCGTCGATCAGCTGACTGTACCTCGTCATCAATGCGCGGATAAAAAACATCGGCTCATCGCCGATCTGATAGCTCAAATCCTCTTCCTTGCTAGTGCTCACTGCTTGGGCCTCTCTGCTCCCCGGGCCAATAAAGCATCCACCATCATCTGTCAACAAACGGCTCGGGACCTCGCCGCCTCGAGGCCGCAGCTTTTTGTGCAACATTTGAACCCTCAAGCTGCTTCTTGCTCGTTTGCCCGCGCGGGGTCATCGGCCATCGTCCGACGAACGTTTGCCACCTTGACTTGCTTGAAACAATTCTCGAATGCGCCTTCCCCTCGTTGTCGTATGAGCCTGTCTGACAAGGCAACATTGATCTCTTCCCAACCCACTGTTGAATCGCCTTGCCGCGCTTCCATCACCTCGGCCTGTCGCTCAGCTCCGATCAAGGCGTTTGCGTATCGCACAGCGACTCGGATATCGGCCGACGACAAACTTGTCTTCTCTGCCCAATGCTAAGTCTTTTCTTGTAATAGTTTCACAGAGACAGAATGACTACAGCAGAGGACCGAGGTATTGGTCATTGCTTCTGGAGCAAATTTCTCTGCACCCTGGTGCGCAGGCTCGAAGAATGGTTACTCCCCATCCGCATGCGCCTCGGCAGGAAGATCATGTACGACGAGCAACGGAAAATCGTGCAAGTGTCGAGCCGGCAACTAATCAAAGGGCCGTGTTCGCAGCAGGAACTGGAAGCCATGCAGTATGCCGCCTCGAGCACGTCGGTGCCTCTGCCCCGTATCCATCGGACATATCAGCTACGCCAAGGACTATTCATCGCCATGGACTACATTCGCGGCGAATCCCTCGAGGACCTGTGGGCTCGTCTGACTGACGAGGAGAAGCGCAAAGCCGTCGCCCAGGTGTGGGACAGCGTGAGGCAGCTTCATGCGTGTCGCCCGCCCTCTGGCCTCGGTGGCATGGCTGCCGCGTCAGTCGGCGGCGGACCAGTTCGCGACGGAGCACTCGGCGTGGAAGACGATGGACCAGCTGGTCTTGGTCCGTTTGTCGAGTCTGCTGATTTTGTATCCGTCGTTGATGAGCGGACCGACTTTGCAGAGTTTCCTCGCCAGCCGGACCAAGTCGCTTTTGTTCATGCGGATATATGCCCGCGGAATATTATCCGAGCTGCAGATGGGAAGTTGTATCTTATTGACTGGGAGTTTGCTGGATGGTGGCCGCTATGTAAACACAAGACAAGACTCCGTTCCGACTTTGGCCTGCGAAACATGTTGCTAACGGAGCTACAGATTGGGAGCGCATGAAGTGGCATTTTGCGGATTTTCCGCCCATGCCGGATTTTATTCGTCTTATGGACGAGTTTTCTGCTGAGGAGTCTGGGAAACTGTCACATAGCAACGGTACACTTGACTCGACGCGGAACGGGGGATAGGCGATGGAGACGTCATGAATGGTGTTGGCGGAACATGCAAATTCTCGACATGAAGCGTTTTTCGGAATGGAGTAGACTCTAGAACTCTAGATGCCTGAAATTGGGCAGCGACATGATGGCCAGCAAGGCGTGTTGTCAATATCCTGTGCTGTCGTTTGTGACGAGGGGCAGTGTGCAGCTTGCCCAATTCAATTATAATTATCGGCTTGGCAACAAAACAACCAAAAAACCAGACAAGACCTGCAGACAGTGAATAAATCAAGACCCTAAGGCCGCACTTCATGT